CCACGCCCTCCCGAGACGAGACACTTTTGCTTAAAGAGGGAATTACTGGCCCGAAGTGTCACAGCACGTGGAGTTGAGATCCCACCCGGGACCGCCCGGCTCTGGCTCCCAGCTCTTCGTCTGTCCACCCACCCCCTTTGGCTGGTGCCAGGGCTGCTCCATCTTCCACCTCCTCCTCCATCTGAGGGTTAGTAACGGGAAACTTCCTAGGCGAGCCCTCCGCAGCCTCTGGAACACAGGACTGGCTGGGATTCCATTCCCCTCCCTCGGGGGCCCAGCTGGCTGAGGTATGGGGAGGGGCTCTCATCCTTGCCAGGCCCTGAGTGGTGCAACCCCGAGCGGCATGGGCCCCTACTAGAAGGGGTTGCGTTCAGTCAGCAGCTTGGCACCTGCAGTTTACCCTGATCGAGTCAGGCGTGCAGGGAGACTGGGCTGTCAGCCCAGGTCCTGCTCTGGCCTTCCTGAGCCTCAGTTTCCTCATCTGTACAATGACCTTGGGGGGTGACGGGCGGCCCCATCTGGATGACCAGGCCCTGTGCCATCCCCAGCTCGAGAAGGAGGTGGAACGGCGGCAGCGGCTGGGGCAGGAGGCGGCTGCCAGGAAAGCCCTCATCGCAAGCTCCTACCACCCGGTGCGGCCTCACATCTACAACACGCTGCAGGTACCTGGTCGGGGCAGGTTACTGGAAGGAGGTGGAGGCAGCCGGCACCGGAAGCCGTCTGCCCCACAGCCGGTGTGTTTTGCCCCCAGGATGAGGCCCTGGCCCCTGAGTTTTTGGCTGCAGCTGAGTACAGCACATCGCCGGGTGCAGACCTTGAAGGCCTTCTCCAGCGGCTGGAGACAGTGTCTGGTGAGACCTTGGCCCCATCACCCGGTAGGACTAGGACTAAGGGGTGGGGTCCCTCCACCTACCATGTCTGCCTCCAGAATCTAAGTCAGCAGGAGCTAGAAGGGCTGGTGGGACCCGCCGGGAGCAGGGCATCTGTATTCACTTACTCACTTGCCCACCTGCCCGTGTCAGGTATGAGCCAGCTGGCACACTCGAATGGGGGTGACTGAAGAACTTAACGAAGGGACAGCTGACACAGGACCACCCCCCTCCCCCCTCTCCCTGGGGGTGAGGGGGGTGGGGAGCAGACAGTTCCTTATCCCTAGACCTGGAGAAGTGGGCAAGAGTGAGTGTCTTGAGCCCGCCACGACCTGGAGCTGTGGGAGAGGGGCGGGAAGCAGCTGCCAGGAAGCAGCTGTGGCCTGGAGCAGAAGCACAAAGCCATGCCAAACTCAGAAATGCCGCATCTCTCCGGCCTTTGAGTCTCCTGCTGGGATCTCCCATGGGCTAACCCTAGCAGGGAGTCTGGCCCTTCCGAGTCCCTTAAGTCCTCTGCCTCAGTTTCATCGTCTGTGAAACGGGAGCAATGGTAATACCCATCTGCTAAAGTGTGATTAAGTGAGGTGACGTGCCTAAAGGGCTGGGTGCATAGCATCTAGAGGTTTCCTCAGTCTTACGGTTACGGTTATTCCTAGGCCTAGGGGATACTTTGGGGAGACAGGTGCAAGGTGTCGCTCCCCTTATCAAGCCCGTGCTCTGTCGGGAGGCACAGGGCGGAGTGTGAATGAAACATGCCCTCCCAGCCCGGGGGCATCCCTCCTCATTCCCATCCACTCCCCAACAGCGGAGATCGCGTAACGGTTGTCTGGGTGAAGGCTGTCGGCTGTGAGTTGGCCAAAAGTGTGGGGGCACACCAGCCGTGCACCCCAGGGTGTTGGTGCATCTGCCAAGAAATGTTTGCATTTCCGTTCGCAGCCTGGCCTCTCCCTACCAGGACCCGGCAAGAAAGAGCAGCCCCCCTCAGCCTTCCTGTGTGGGGAACAGAGGCTCCAGGAGGCACTTCAGTTGGGGTTCAAGTGTTGGTGGCTCATGGGGTGGGGTGCAGAGAAAGCTTGGCGCTGGCCCTGTGATCCCTGCTGGGCTCCGTCACTGGCCTGCTGGGGGTCATTGGGCTAATCCCTTCCCACCTCTGGGTCTCAGCAGAACCCACATCTGAGTCTGGTGGCTAGGCTGTGGACACCTGCGGCAGCAGGAGGAGAGGCTCCAGGGACAAATAAGGGGACCCGAGAATAGGCCCCTCTGCTGCCCACACATTATGTCATTAATGGTCACAACAGCCCTGAGAAGTGAGTACCTGTGTTATCCCCATTGTACAGATGAGGAAACTGAGGCTGAGGGAAGTGAAAAGACGTGCCCAGGCTCACAGCTCGCAGGGAGACTGAAACCCACACGGAAGCTCCCAGCCAACAGACTGTCCCTCCTTCCGCAGGGGAGAAGCGTATCTACCGGCTGCCGGTCTTTACAGCGCCATTCTGCCAGGCCCTGCTGGAGGAGCTGGAGCACTTCGAGCACTCGGACATGCCCAAGGGAAGACCCAACACCATGAACAACTATGGGGTAGGTGAGGCTCCCTCCGGGGGGCCTGAGGCAGCAGGGAGCCGGGGCTGGGGAGCCGTAGCTGCAGTGCGAGAGAAGAGCTGTTGGGTCCCATTGGTCTTGGTCTCCCAGTCTGTAAGATGAGGTCACGGTCGGGTTATTTTGAAGTTAAGCCCATCGATATCTGCAAAGCGCTGCTGTCCTTAGGAAGAGACTCCCCGCAGGGACCCAGGGTGAGGCCCCCACCAGTTTCCCTGCTGACTCCCAGGATCCCCCTCCCAGGTGTTGCTGCACGAGCTAGGCCTGGATGAGCCGCTGGTGACTCCGCTGCGGGAACGCTTCCTGCAGCCACTGATGGCCCTGCTGTACCCAGACTGCGGTGGGGGCTGGCTCGACAGCCACCGTGCCTTTGTGGTCAAATATGCACCAGGCCAGGACCGTGAGCTAGGCTGCCACTATGATAATGCCGAACTCACCCTCAACGTGGCCCTTGGCAAGGCCTTCACGGGGGGCGCCCTGTACTTCGGGGACCTCTTCCAGGTTAGTGTGTGTGACCCGGGGGGCAGGGCCTGGGGCAGCCAGGAGTGCCCAGGCCTGAGCTCCGCTGTCTGCAGGCACCTTCAGCCCTGGCCAGGCCCCTGGAGGTGGAACACGTGGTGGGCCAGGGCATCCTGCACCGGGGTGGCCAGCTGCACGGGGCCCGGCCCCTAGGCACTGGCGAGCGCTGGAACCTTGTCGTCTGGCTCCGGGCCTCTGCTGTGCGCAACCGCCTGTGCCCCATGTGCTGCCGGAAACCTGAGCTGGTGGACGATGATGGCTTCGGCGACGGCTTCACTCGCGAGGAGCCCACCATGGTGGATGTGTGCGCACTGACCTGAGCCTGGTTGGGGCCAGTGTCGGGGTGGCATGGCAGGGCTCTGCCACCTTGGGTTGGGCAGGGCAAGAATAAACTCCCTGCAGCCCTCAGGCACTTCTTGGTTCAAAAGGACACACAAGCCTCGGAGTCATTCTTTCGGCAGACAGGTTGGTTTAGGTCAGGTGTGTTAGAACCAGAGCCTGAGATGAGGATTCCCGTGCAGGTGGTTTGTTGAGGGAATACCTTCTGGAGAAGGGCGTGAGGCAAGGACAGGACAGGAAGGAGCTGGGCCAAGATGTGGTTTCAGAGGGCACCTAGCTTCAGCCCAATCCCTCCAAGTGCTCTAGAGCATGAATGTAGCAGTTTGCCCCCTGCATCGGTTATTGGCTCACAGGTGTGTCAAGGCCGGGCTGGCGGGGTGGGTGGGGAGGTGGTGGTTCCCAGTGGCCCAGGGAACCTTCCAGAGAAGAGTACAGGTATGAGTTAGGAGACGCCACAGCCTGGGTGAGTGCATCTGTCTATGAAGGGGATCTGGGTGAGCCATCGATAGCAACTTCTAGTTGGTGTCGGGTGCTTTCCACAGAGGGGTTAAGAGCAGGGGCTCTGGAGCCAGACTGCCGGGGTTCAAATTCTGATCCTGCTGCTTCCAGCTGTGTGGCTGCAAGTAAGCCCCTTGACCTCTTTGTGCTTTAGTTTTCCTTATCTGGGAAGTACCTATCTCCGAAAGCTGTTGTGAGAGTGAAACGATTTAATGTATATAAAGTGCTTTATAACAGCCCTCTATGTTTGCTGCTGTTCTTGAAAAACTTGCAACTTGGCCGCCCCCAAGTTGGATGAAGAGTGCAGCTGTGATGGGTTTGGGCTGTACACCTGAAAACCCAGGGGTTCCCATATCGAAATCTTGAGTGCCGGCCTCGCGGGGAAGGTGGGAAGGTCTGGAACACCAGGCCCCAGCCCACACTGGAGAAATCAGCTGGAGCAGAGCCTCCGCTGCTGCTCACGCTGGACAGGCTTGTGGCGCATTCCCTCACAGGGGTCCCTTCCTGGCTCACTGTCATGATCTCTCCGGCCCCTATGGCTATTTGTTCGCGACCTCTATTACCAGGTGGGGACGCTGGAATGACTAAGGTGTCCCCCGGCCTGCCAGGGTGGACAGGACGGCAGGCATCTCAAGGAGGGAAGAGGCGCACGGTCGGGTCGCCTCCTTCCCTGGGTCTTCAGGGAGGCTGGAGAAGGGCGGTCTGAGAAGAGCGGGGAGCACGGCCGAAGCCTGGATCCCCTGCTTCCCTCTTCCGGAGGTGGGCGAGCCACACCGTTTCTCCCGCAGCCCTGGAAGCGGAACCTGGGGCTTCGGGACTAAAGGAGGCAGCGCCTCGCTTCCCAGCCGGACGGCCTCTGGGAGCACTGCCCAGGCCGGAAGTCGCCTCGCCGCCGCTTCCTCACGCGAAGGCGTGGCGCGGGTCGGGTGGTCCCGCCCGATGGGCGGTTGAGGAAGGAACGGAGCAGCTGCGGGGACCTTCCCCAAGGCTGCGAGGCGGCGGAGGCCGCGCGGGTGGAGGACAGGAGAGCGCGGGGAGGGATTCGGGACGCACCTGGCAGCCGGGGACCGCGGCCGCTCCTAGGGGCGCCAGAGCGCCGGTGCGCAGGCGTGGAGCGGCCGGGCGGGGGCGAGCCCTTAAAGGGGTAGAGGATCCGGGAGTCGGCGCAGGACCTGAGGTCCCCGGGGGTCGGGGTGGGTGAGGATCGTGCGGTGGCCGCGGACCCCCTCAAGTCCCTGCCCCGGGTGGTGATGGGTAGTGGGCCCTCGAGAGCCAGGCCCCGAGAAGAGTCGCCCGTGGAGCCCAGTCTGGGGATCGGCTCTGTGAGCCTCAGTTTGAGCGTGTCTCCCCGTCTCCAGCCCGCGGCGCTATGGCTCACGTCAGCTCTCGCAAGCGCTCGAGGAGTCGAAGCCGGTCCCGGGGGCGAGGGTCCGAAAAGAGAAGGAAGAAGAGCAGTAAGGATGTCCCGAAGAGCTGCTCGGCTTCTAGATCCCAAGACCACAAGGCCAGCACCATCTCCTCTGGGGCGGAGGGTGAGGACCGGAGGGAATGGGAAAGGGGTGTGGGAACTTCAGGGAGGAAGGCTGCGGGCAGGCCCGGGCAGGCGTCCCTGCATGGCTGTGAGCAGTGGTCAGAGGAGTGCAGAATGTAGGACCTCCGTATCCGGATCGAAAGACCTTCAGATTCTAGGGGCTGGGCCAGCCCGTTGTGTAAGGATTGAAGGGAGCACGTAATGGTGCTTTTTGAGCAGCAGGATTTGAGATAGGGGCCTGGCTGCCCTGCTCCTGGTCAAACAGTGACAGGGTGAAGCCCAGAAAGTGCCTCTCCAGGGAGTGCTGATCCCTGCTCTGGCTGGAAAGCCCGGCCTGGAGGGTCTCACCCCTCAGTAGTCCCCCTAAGCCTGCCACAGGCCAGAGCCAGGGGATAAAGGTTTACCTCTTCCCCTCCTGGCCTTCCAGCCTCACCTTCTCCCTGCATCACAGAGAGAAGCAAGCACAAGGCCCGGAGGAGACCATGATCCAGCTCCTCCTCCTCTTCTTCCAGTTCTTCTAGCTCTTCTTCCTCTTCGTCCTCCTCCTCTTCCTCCAGTGGTGGCCGGAAGAAGCGGGGGAAGCACAAGGACAAGAAGAGGAAGAAGAAGAAGAAGAAGAAAAGGAAGAAGAAGCTGAAGAAGAAAGGCAAGGAGAAGACAAAGGTACAGCAGGGGGAGGCTCTGCCGGGACCCTCGCTGGACCAGTGGCACCGATCAGCCGAGGAGGAAGAGGACGGCCCAGGTATGCTGCCTCCCAGTGTGCAGGAGGGGAAGGGCCCCCTCCCTGAGACCCAGCTGCCGACTCCCTGCCAACTCCCCTTGCAGTCCTGACGGATGAACAGAAGTCCCGCATCCAGGCCATGAAGCCCATGACCAAGGAGGAGTGGGATGCTCGGCAGAGTGTCATCCGCAAGGTGGTGGACCCGGAGACAGGACGCACCAGGTGGGAGCGCTTGGCAAAGCTCAGCCCCACACGCTCTGCACTCTCAGGAGGAGGAGCGACGGCTGCTGCGCTAAAAAGCCAAAGACAGGAGAAGGGCAGTTAACTCATTTCTGGGAGTTTTTAGGCTGTTCCTCCCTGTTGCCCAGAGCAAGCACTTACAGGGGCTGGAAGGGCCTTGAGGAATGTCTTCAAAGAGCCAGTTGGCCGGTCTGGCGGCAGACCCTACCCAGCTGCCTTTATCACTATCCCAAGGGTGGGAGAGAGGGAGAGGTGGGAGCATCTTATGTTCCACCCGCTCAGGGGAGCAGGGGCCTGCGCCCTGGCATCTCTTTGCCAGGTGGGTCTGGTTCTGTTGCTCTGGCATTAAGAGGCTCAACCTCCTCTCCCCTCCTCCCCCAGGCTCATTAAGGGAGATGGCGAGGTCTTAGAGGAAATCGTAACTAAGGAACGACACCGAGAGATCAACAAGGTTTGTGTCACCCCTTTGCCCGGGGTCCACGCCCAGCTCTGTTTCTGATGGGTCTCCTCCCATGCGCTTTCTTCTCCAGCAAGCTACCCGCGGGGATGGCCTGGCTTTCCAGATGCGAGCAGGGCTGTTGCCCTGAGGGCCCTGCTGGCTAAGTGCTGGTGGTGTGGCCTGGAGACTGGCTTCAGAGTGGGCAGCAGGAAGCCCAGTGGGTGCTGTTTGCCTTTCCTCCTGCGGACTGGCCTCTGGCCCAGCCTCCTCTCAGATGCAGGGGGTGAGGACGGGGTCACTGGCCTCATCAGCTCCTCCTTGCAAGAGCATCACTTCCCAAATATTAAATGTTCCCTGGCTGGAAACTTTGTTAGGTCGGCTTTTTGTGCTGAAGGGAGGGAAGGTTGCTACCCAACTTCCAGAGGACAAAGGAGGCCTATAGGACTTTTGGGGGGAAGGTGGGGTGTACCCTGACGTTCGTGAAGACCAGCCACCTTTGCTCTGCTCATCCTCCGGTCTGCCTGCTCCGACCAGACCCTGACCCTGACCCTCAGCTGAATCCCAAACCCAGAGACGTGGCTTTTAAACCCCATCCTCTCAGATTTGGAGGGAGGCTGCTTCCTGCACTGTTTATTCTGCAGATGACAACCGCGCAGAGTCCTGGTGCTGGGGCCGGGCCGCCGGGGTGGGAATCCTGGCCCACGTTACTAGCTGTGACCTCTGTAGAGCAGAGAGGCTTTCAGCATCCACCTGGCTGGGCTGCTGTGAGGATGAACCGAGTTCATGCCCAGGAAGGGGCTGGGAGGAGGCCCGGTGCAGGGGAAGGCTGGCATAAGCGTACTGGTGTTACAGTCAGCATAGCAGGCACTGTTGATTGGGAAGGACATCCTCTCCCCACCACAGCTTTAGCTCTGGGACAGGCCGTGCCCCCACCCCAGATCCCCTCCCCACCCTGTGCTCTGTGGTTGCTGGTGCAGTAAAGAGACCCAGAAGGAAGCCTTCCTGCTTCTTTAATTGGTGTAACAGACAACGACACTGTATACAGAGCACACTCAGGCCCAAAGGTGCAGGGAAAGCAGGGGCGGATGGGGCGAGTCAGGACACGGCTCACACATGGCCCAGACAGAGAGACAGGAGGGGCCGAGACGAGAAAAGTAACGAGGTGGGGTGGGGGGGCGTGGGGAGTGGGGTGGTGGAGGGGCAGCTCATAAAGAGCTGGGAAAGTTGGGGGTGGGGTCTCTGCTGAATCCGTCTTTAGAAATCAAAGAGAAGGCAGGCGGTTGGATCTGGGGTGGTGGGCGGAGGCTCAGTGTGGGGTTGGGAGTGGGACTAAGGCTTCTACTCTAACAGGCCTGGGGTGGGGGTGGCAGTCAGCAAGGCCTGCCTCACCCTTTGGTTGCGACTGGTCAGGCCTGAGCCCTGCAGCTCAGCACCCAACACTGTAAACATTTTTGGTATTTTTAAAGGACTCTGCCCTCCCTCTCTTAGTTTCTGAAAAACCGGTGCTTCCTTAAGAGGAGAATGTGCCAAAAGGAATCTTAAGGGAGGCAGGAAGCAGACCTGGATACAGAAGAGAGATGTCAACGGGGAGGGGGGGCTGCCCATCTCACCATCTATGGCTAAGGGCCACTGGGAGAGGCCCAGGGGACTATTGCTGTTGTCCTTGGCATGGCTGGCGGCTGGGCAGGCAGGCAGGGAGTGCGGAGCCTGGGGGAGCTGCCCCCTGGGAGAGGCCGAGCCCACTGCCCACATGGCCTCCCCGGGCCAGGAGGCCTCCCAGCCTGTATTGCAGGGGGGCCCAAGGCTCTTCCAGGTGCTTCTCCAGATGGCTGGTCACCGAGGCAGTAGGCAAGATGGGGTGAGGTGGGACCGACAGAGAAGGAGGCACTGGCCACAGGGGCCCCTCGCTGGGGCTGTGATTGTCGGGCCAAGCGATTTCCCGCCGGGGAGCAGAGTGGGGGTCAGATATTGCACTTTCATTGCAACACTTACATTAAAACTTGGTCCATAAAATAATCGTTGCTTTATACAGAACGCCTGAAACAAAAACAAAAAGCTACATCTTAAATATGAACAAACCCTGAAGGTCCTATTCCTCCAGAAATTTTTCTCTGCGCAAAATAAATAGCTTTCACTCTGTATAGACCCACTTTTGCAGAACATTTACACAACCCTTTGGCTGTACATATCTACACACGGGAAAATGTGAACATCAATCTGCGTGCCTCCCCATCCCAGCCTATGAGGCCCTGAGGCCGTATCCAGGTTGGCAGCAGCTTCTCAGAGTGGGAGCCTGGCCAGGCAGGCTCCCCCGCCTTGTAGAAGAAGGTAGAGGAGCAGTCGAAGGGCCGCCCGGAGCCGAGCGCCATAGCTGAGATCGTGGTCGGTTCTGGGGAGGGAGGGCTGATGCTCAGACCCAGCGTGCAGGACATCGTGGTCCTTGACAGGTGGGGAATGAAGTCGTGGCTGCCCGCCCTTAAGCTAACGAAGCAAATTGTGGCTTCTTAGATTCGGCATCAAAACGGAATTGGCATTAAAAAAACTTAAGTGTGTGCCCATTCACCCCAGAGTAGAAATTCAGTGGAATTAATGGGGGTCAGGTGAGGCAGGGACCCCACACCTCACTGCGTGGGCAGGGGGCAGGGCCCCGGGACCCAGAACCAGGCTGGACTCCATCACAGTGCTGGGTGTTTTCATGTGGAGGGGCTGCGCTTGGTACTGAAAGAGTTAAGAAAAGGAAGCAGCCAAGGATTGCTCATTTAAAAAAACCTCATAGAAATCAGACTGGATAAGTAGAAAGGTGTAGAAACGCAGGAGAGCCGAGGCACGTGGCCTTGACTGATGGCAGGCGAGGAGTGGAAGAGGAGGCCGGGCCTGGCCAGGCCCAGGAGCCCGAGGCGTGGCTTCTCGGGAGCCGGCTCTGGGCCTCACCAGCCTCACTGCCAGACTGGGTTCCAGGTGGGGCAGGTGGACAGATAGGTAGGGATCCGGGGCTGCCACAGCGTTGGCGGGCCAGGCGGAGCTGCAGAAATTAAGATATGGCCTTTCTCTTCCTGCTTGCACAAGGATTTGCCACCCTGGAGCCTTCTGTGTGGCAATAGGTCCCAGATGAGCAAACGTTGGATTTTCATGCATGTCCACGAGTCTGTAGCCACAGGAGACGGTAATGGATCTCCACTCTCAAAAATCAGTGCAAGACCAGTGAGGTTGAACAGTTGAGTAACTAGAGTTAACAAGAAGCAGGCTGTCCCCCCATCGGAGTTGCTACCAAGTGGGAGGGGACCTGGGGGTCAGGGTGAGCTAGTGGATGGGAGGTGGCAGGCGGGGCCTGGGCCCAGGATGCTGGGAGGTCAATGCAGGGCAAGTGTCTGGGAGTGCCTTTCGGGCCAGTCCACGTGGGGAGTCCTGGTCCCTCTGTCATCCTGGGACAGGTTTTCCTGCAAGCTGGAACCCCTCAGACCCTAGGACATGAGGCAGGGCTGGGAGGGCTGTGTGGCACGGCCTATGTCCTCCGCCAGGCCCTGGGACAAGCTTGTCTCCAGCCGACATTGTGTGCCCAGGCCAGGCCTCCTGGCGGGGCTGGCCGCCCTGGCCTAGCACCACGGAGACCACAAGGCCTCGCTAACGGTGTCCTACTTGGGGCCCGCGGCTGCCCCTGGCTCAAGCCGGCCGGCCATGGTGCGGCCCCAACAGCCGGCCGCTACGCTCATGCTGCGTTGTCCCCGCTGCTCGACGTCCGCCTGGTTCTGTGTCCGCTCCTGCCGGTGGCCGGGCCCGCTGGGCTGGGCCGAGATGGTGCGGAGCAGGTGGTTCCGGGAGCGCAGGAAGTCTCCCTGGCCAGGCAGGCCAAAGCTGCCTTTTCGCAGTGCCATGCGGGTGGCCGCATTGCGGGCTGGCCGCGCCCGGTGGTTGTACTTGAGCTGGGCGAGGTGCGCCGCGTAGCCGTCCGTGATGAACTGCAGAGGAGGGCGGTGAGGAAGACGGCCGTCACGGGGTGGGCTGTCGGGGCCGCCCGCCCCCGCTGCCCACCACGACTTGCCCACCCACCTGGCACTGCTGCTGCAGCTTCTTGGTGGGCCGGCCGACGATGTAGATCTGCATGGGGGACAGGCTGATGGAGCTGTAGACCGCCACGTCCTTGGTGGAGCCGTAGGCCGCGTGCACGCGCAGGTGCAGCTGTGGGCGAGACGTGTGGGCGTGGCCCGGCTCTCCCACCCAGCCCCGCCCCGCCCCGCCCCCGCCCCCGCCCCATCCCTGCCGCCTGGGACCTACCTCGGAGATGAGCAGCTTCAGGAAGTTGGCCTTGTGCCTCAGCGGGTCGTGCACCAGGCCGTCACAGAAGGACACCACGCCGTGGGGGAAGTTGTGCTGGGCCAGCCACGCCACCACCCGCTGCTTCTGCATGTCAGGCCGGCCAGTCACGTAGATGATGAGGTAGCCCAGGTCCTGCCAGTGCCTGGCGACGAGGGGCAGGACTGGGTGTCCCACGGCCGCCAGGTCTTCCCTCCCGGGCCACCCTGCCTCCTTGCCCAGCCGCAGGACACTGCATCTCTGGGCTCAGCAGAAATAGTAACAGCCACGAGGACGGTCACACAGGTCACACGGTCTGACGCCCTCTGTGGCAAGTGCAACCGGTCTTGTCGGGAGCCCCACTTCTCAGGTGAGGAACTGAGACATCAACATTAAGAGGTCACCCGGCGAGCTGCTGGTGGTGCTGACTCCATGAGCCCCTGCTCTGGTGCCCAGAGCCCTCCCCAACTTGGCCTCCAGGAGCTTCCTGCCCCTGAGCCCACCCACTGTGCCCTTGGGCGTCACTCACCGCACCACGTCCACGGCCCCGGCCCGCACTTTTGGGTCGCTGCCCATGATGGACACGCTGGCAGCAAAGGAGCCATCGATACTGAAGACCACGAACTCCGTGCCCTTGGGCAGCACGGTGATGTAGCTGTCGGCAAACGTGTGGTCTCCCCTGGGAGGGGGAGCTCATCAGAACCCACCAGACCCTCTTCTTCCTGCCCCAGAGGTGGCCGGCCTGGCCTGCTCGCCCCCCAGAGGCACGTACCTGACCACCATCTTGATGGGGTAGACACCCACACCCAGGCGGTGGGTCTCTGGGATGGTGTAGGAGACCCGCCCGCTGCTGTTGGTCACCAGCGTGTCTAGGTAGAGCCACTCGCCCGAGGGCGGCTGCATCATGATGTGCACATCCACCTGGGGGCCGGGCAGGCTGGTCACGAAGGGGCTGGGCCCCTGGCCTCCCCAGCCAGAGGGAGGCAAGGGTAGGGGCTCCCGCAACCTCGCCACGTCCTTACCTTCTCCCCAGTCAGGGTGACCATGTCCAGGGGCCCATACATGAACCGGCCCGTCAGAACCTGCGGGCCGTCCTCGTTGGCGACTGCATCATTGATCCGGTGGTTGGCGGTCACGTTCTGGGGACGGGAGGAGCGAGGCTGGGTCAGGGTAGGGGATGGAGGGGTGGCTGGGATCTCCTGGGCCTGGTGGGTGGGCACGGGCTTAAAGCAAGATGGCCCAGGTTCAAGTCCAGCTCAGCCACCTGCCCTACACGGCCTTGGCACATCCCTGTCTATAAATGGGGCAATAGCTCCAACCTCACGGACTGAGGATTAAGTAACACAGCACGCTTCTCTGCGACTTGGTTTCCTCGTCTGTGATATGGTGTCTTCTTTCGAGGATTTAACAGGACAACAGCCTCGGGGCCTGGACCCCCCAGAGGCCTCCTCACCCGCAGCTTCACGTGGGTCCTCTTGCGCTGCCACTTTTCTCTCGGCTTGGAGGGGGTGAACACGGAAACCTCTTTGCCGTCCAGCTCCAAGATGCTGGAATTGTCATGCCTCATGACCTGGGAGGGAAGAAGCAGGCCATGGGGCAGACTCAGGAACCAGAAACGCAGGAGCCTGTGAGGGGCCGGGGGGGCACTATTCAACCCACTACAGTCTGCCTCCTGGTCCTCCCCAGATTCACATGTCTCATGAATGTGCAGTAACAGCCACCCCATCCCCGTGTCTGCGAGGGTTCCTCCATCCTGCTTGCTCTGGGGTCTGATGGGAGCACACCCCCCCCCCCAATCTGTGAAATGGGGCCATGTCAGCGGTGGCGTCATCTGGTCCTACTTGCAAGGCCCTAGTGCTCCTAGCGGTGGGCCCCAGGATACCTGTCTCAGCAGGAAGGAGACTACATCCGTTGACTCCCAGTAGCTGGCGTGGAAGAGGTGGGGCAGGGCCACGGTGGGGAAGGCTGTCAGTGCGTCAGGGCAGTACAGGGCGTAGTCGATCCGCTTCTGGCCCCACCACTTGGCTGCAACTGCCAGGAGGGATCCTTGACCGGGCTGGACCTCAGGAGGTTCCCAGGCCCCGCAGGCTTGGCTCAGCCCGAAGACTAGACCCTCCTCTGACCAGGGAAAGGGGTGCAGCCACAGCGAACCTCCTCCCCCCTGGCTGGGTGACAGAGAGGAGCAGGGAAGGCGCAGGACTCCAGGACGGTGCACAAGCAGCCAGAAGGCCCAGGGTGCGGGGGTGGGGGAGGAGCGTGTGGAGTTAGGGGGCTGGGGACAATCCCAGTCTGGAGATAGGTCTATCCCTGGCCCTGTCGCTGATCCTGTTGACCCCCTGCCCTGGGCCCTGCTGCTGTCCTCTCCAGGCTCTCCTGCCCCTCCCCCCCACATGTGCCCTGCAGGCCTCAGGCTGGTGACAGGCTTTGCAGAGGTGAACCCCGAGGCAAGGCCTGCCGTGAGCAGCAGGCTGAGCTTCACGGCCTGGGTGTGAGTCCTGGCCCCCATTCGGGGCTGGGAAACCCCCTAGCTCCAGAAAAGGGTTATCAGATGCCTTTCTGCTAGGTTCACACAGACGCTTGGTAAGTGGTGCCTGATGGGGGTCAGGGCTCTTGTGAGTTCTGCCTGTGGCCTGCCACATGGGACAGGCAGGCAGTCCCTTGGCCATCACCCCCCCCAGTCAACCCCTCTACGTCCTCCCCAGACCCGAGTGCTCCCAGCCCAAGCCTCTAGCTCTCAGGTTAGGCCACAGAGCGTAGGACCTGGCGGTGAGATGTGCTTGGAAATGGTGAGTGACCCCAGTTAGAGGAGGCAAGCGTGTGTGGGCAGAGGCCATGTGACGCCCGGTACCTTCTCTGATGTCCAAGTCGGGGAGGTGGGGGGCCCACTCCAGGCTGGGGCTCCCCTGCTGGGCCTGTGGGTGGGGGCCCAGGGTAGAGGGGGGTGGGGAGGGCAGAGCGAGCAGAGACAGGCGCCTGACGCTGGGGGTATGGCTGAGCGACCCTGGGGCCTCTGAGAAGCAAGAACAACGAGGAAGGGGTCAGCCACGCCGGGCCCACCAGGAAGGACACTGGGAAGAGTGCCAGACTCCCTCCTCACAGAAAGACGCCCACGCCAGCCTCAGCTCAGGTGCCCCTGAGCAGGCAGGCAGGCAGGCAGTCAGTCACATAGTCGAGGAGGACAGAGTGGGCGGCTGGCCCTGGCGAGCTGAGAGGGGGTGACCTGGGCTCCACTTCCAGCTGCTGAGAAGCTTCTGAGATGGGCAGGAGCAGCAAAGGAGCGGCCGCAGCGAGATCTCGCCTCTCCAGCTCCCCTCAGCTGCCCCTCTGGTTATCTGGTTCTGTTTGCTTGTCCAGAAACAGCCCACAGCTTCCTCCTCTGGGAGCACCGGGCCCTTTGGGGTTAGGACCCCTCTTCCCGGGCCCGTCGCCTCCCAGCTGCCTGGATGGTACCGCCCATCTCGTGCCGCCTGGACTTGGCCCCGCTGGGCTGCCCCGGCCATCCCCCCTCCCTCGAGTCCGCTACGGACATTTGGGATTGTTGTAGGCGTTTAGCGGCATCCCTGGCGACTGCCTGCCAGGCACTGCCCGCTATCTCGGGGTGGGGCCGGGGGCGGGAAGGGTGCAGACCCCTGCTATGACAGAGGGGAGGGCCCAGGGAGCGCAGGCCCTGGGTGCTGCTGCACTCACTCTGGGCAATGCTGGATGCTGTGTAGCTCTCGGCCATGCCCGACACCTGGCTGGCAATGCTGATCTCACTGGCTCGGCGGAAGCCTCGGGTGGCGGGGGCTGTGCCGGGCGAGGAGGGGGCTGCGTGCTCTTGAAAGACTGTGCTGTGGGTCTGGAGTGCGTCCGCTGTGGGTGGACAGGGGCCAGAGAGGCCAGTGGGTAAGACAGGCACTCCTCCTCCAGCTCAGCACCCCCACCCCCACCCCCGGCTCCCTGAGCAGTGGGAGGCAGGGCCCGGTGTGCCCTGGGCTGGGCGGGCAAGGCCGACCCCTCCCACTGCAGACGAACGGTGGCATCTGAGCACAACTGGCAGTGAGGGCAGGCCCAAGCATGCCGGGGCCTGACTGCTCGGGGCTGACAGGGCAGGGTACGGAGCCGGGGCAGGGACGGACAGACGGACCGACACAGACACAACAGGTAGGGAGGCAAGGCGGCCAGGCTCAAGCCCCCCCTGGCCACGCTTCTTACCCAAGACACAGCTCCTGATCTCGTCCAGCCCTCCCAGCCTCCCGGGCTCTGCCCGGCCAGGTGTGACCCGCGGCCCCCTGCAGCTGGGTTTGAGGGGCACTTACAACAGGGGCCCGAGTGGTCTCCCAGGGGCACCCAGTGCTGGGCACTGAGGATGAGGCAACACCCCTGCACGTCTCCCGCATGGGCCACACTGAGCCAGCCCTGCGTGTGTGTCCGGGAACAGAGGCAGGTGCTGAGGGCTCACCTGGGCCCTGGGCTGAGGGCAGGGCAGAGCAGGGAGAGCGGGGCTCAGCTAGAGAACTCACATGCAGATGGGGACTCCCTCAGGGAAGGTAAGGAGTGGGACCCTGAGAATCAAACCCTCCCAGGACCAGAGGTTTCTCCTGGGGAGCAGGTGGGATGAGGCTCAAGGTTCCACCCCATCTCCTAGCTGCCCCCACCAGCCTCACAAATGGGAGACAGAGCCCTGGGACTGACGCCCGTGCTAGGTGTCCCTGGGAGAGCCGGTCCCCTCTCTGGGCTCCGAGGCTCCCAGGAGCCTAGGGAGGAGGGGCCGGGACCTGATCCTTAAGACTTGTCCTGTCTGGTCTCTGTGGGATGCCACTAGGGTCCCACAGGCTCCAAGTGGCCAAGGAGGGCATGGGAAAGCCCCTGGGGACCAGCAGTCAGCCAGCGAAGCAGACGCCACCACGAATGGGGGTGTTACACACACTCAGCACAGTCCGGGCTCGGGCGGGGCCCGTCTTGGCAGGTGAGCGCGGGAACGGGGATACTGGTTTCCAGGAAGCCGTCTCCTGGGGGGAGAGGGGCCAGGGGCCCACCCTCTAGGACCAGCTCGGGGTTTCTCTGCACTGTCTCAACTGGAGGCAGACGGGAGAGAACAGACGGGACAACAACAGACACTCTCGTGGGCAGTCCAGACGTGCTCCTCCGACAGACACGTGGGGCTCCTTCAAGACCAGGACGTGACAGGACACACTCGAGGGTGGGGCGGGGGGATGGGGCCTTCTCGGGGAGGGTCGGGAGCGGGCGATGGGCTGCCTTCACACACGTTCCCTGCTCAGACCCACTCTGTAGCCCCTTCCCATCCTGTGCCCCCTCGCCAGCCACTGCCACGATGGGTTCTCGCACGGTCCCTCCAGGTCCCCAGCTCTGTCTTGGGCGACAGGGTGGGAATCTGCGTCCCAGTCTGCCTCCTGGCACCTGGGGTGAGGCCCTGACCTGTGAGGCCACGTCATTCCTCCCTGGCTGGGGTGTGTGGGGCTAATCCCCCCCCCCCCGCCACCTGGTATACCGGGGACCCAGCTTCGGAGGAGCTCAACGCAGGCTGTGACTTCCCACCCGGCAGGGGCCCCAGGAGCGCCCCGCCCAGGGCCCAGGCCCCCCGCGGGTCTCACCCAGCAGCGTGGAGCAGCCGTCCCCCAGCGGGTAGCGCTGGTAGCGGGGGATGCTGAAAGGCGGCAGGGCGTGGAACCTCCGCTCCAGCAGCGGCTCCAGGCGGGAGGCCGACGGGTCCGCGGGGTGGAAGAGGTTATAGACTTGCTGGCAGGCTGGCCGCAGCTGGAAAACTGGGGAGGGCAGGGGTGGGATTGCGGAGCCTTAAGGAGGCCAGGGTCCGCAGCACGAGGGGTGGGGGGGTCCAGAAGCATCCAAAAGCATGTTTCTTGATTTGGGGTCTGACCGTTTATTAACCAGGTGTTCTTAAACTGAGCGGAGTGGATGCAGCCCTGGCTGTGAGGTGGGGCTGCTACTCCACGAGTAGATGTCTCACTTTAAACACACACACACACACACACACACACACACACACACACACACACACACAGTTACAGGTGCTGTATCGTCTTCGAGCTCCCCTCCACCCCCCATTTGACACAAAAATGTTGGCGTTCTTCATTCCAGCACTGCGAGTCCTACCCGGCCCTTTAACGGCTGCAGCCCCCTCCATGGACAAACCGTTACAATGGTTCTGGTTTTCCCGATTACAGATAACGCTGCCATAATGTCACTGTTCCTAAGTCTCTGTCCACTTACATATATATAAGCCAGTGCTTACTTGCTCTTGGGCAAGTGTCTACACCCTTCTGAGCCTCGGTTGACCCCTCTGTGACCTGGGGGCGTAACACGAGCCCTGCAAGTCTCCAGGGCTCCCTGGCCACACTGGCTGACCCCTGGGGCATACAGTGCAGGGATCCTTGCTCTGATAGGCTGCTCGGCCAGTAAGTCACTCTTCCCTGTCCCTGCAGCCATGAGGAGGGGCTCTGGAGCAGCGTGCTTGCGGCCCTTCTGAAACTGGGAAGCCAGGCGCCCAGGAGGATCTCTTCCTTAGGGGAAGATCTTGGGCCCCGGAGACTGGGTCCATCCCTATCTGATCGCGGGGCAGCCCTTTCACTTCTGGACCTCAGCTCCCAGAGGTGCCTTGAAGATTAAACAGCAGGGGCCAGGGGCTGGAGGCTGGAGACTGAGCTGCTAGAGTAGGAGCAAAGGGGAGCAGCGAGCCTAGGCTGGGGAGGGCAGACATGAGGCAGGCTGATGCAGGAACGGGCCTGGGATGTGGCCATGGCCTTGTGACAGGGCTCCACGGAGACCCTCAACCCAGCTCATACACCCCCTGCCCTGCCCTGCCCCTGCAGAGCTCTCACCATCCAGGGCAGGGATGACAGTCTTCCTCAAGGCCAGGACCAGCCCCAGCGGGCACCCGAACAGGAAGAGGTCTGCGATCTCAAAGTCAAACTTCCCCGCGGCCCCTGTGCCGTCCAGCATGGTGGAGCTGCTCGAGTGGCGGGAGCTGGGCTCGTTCCTCAGCACGCTGGCGTGGAGGCTGCAGACGGGGGGGTGGGGTGGGGGGGGTGGCTCGTGAGGCGGCACCACAGCTCTTCCTTTCTCAGCGTTGGCTTGCCCTCAGTCTCCCAAAGGAAGCCCCCCAGGGGTCATCAAGCCCAAACGAGCCTCGACCCCTGTGTTGTCCTGCAGATGTGGCCACCTCTGGTGACAGCTGGTCCCAACCTCCCTAGGGATGCCACTGCCTTTGGAACAGCTGTCCCTGGTCAGTTTTGCCCCCTGACTGGGCTTCACCCCTGGACAAACTGTCCCCTTGGGCTCAAGATGGCCCTTGCTTGTACAAGACCCCAGAGGCACCCAACACTCACGGTGGCCAGCAGCCTGACCTGGTTGACAGCCTCAAACCTGAGGTGTCCCTCCCTCTTGGAGTCACCCCTCCTCACCAGGCCATGCACCTCACGGTCTGACGCTTGGGTCCCACCGGCCCCACCCACCTGGACAGGAAGGCCTGGTGCTGCTGGATGGTGTCCAGCTCATAGGTGGACGAGTCACTCCTCTTTCGGGGCAACTGTCTTTTGGGGTCTTCGACACCATTGCTTCGGGGGATATCGATGTTGCTGCGGCTCAGGTGCCGGCTGCTCTCCAGGCCACCGCTGCCACTGCCGCCATGTGCCGCATTGACCAGGGTGCCCGGGGACAGCAGGTCAGTGTCCTGGAACAGCCCCATGCAGGCTCACTGCCCGGTGGCTGCTGGCCTGGGCCCTGCTTCAGTGTCCTCCCTCCTGACTCCGGGCCTACTGGCCACCGCCCAGCCAGCGTCTCACCCACGCCGGAGAGGAGAAAGCCCTGTCCCCTAGTCGTGCCACTGTCCCCCCAACCCACCGGCCAAGTCCCAACAGCCTTCATCCCTGCCTGAACCGGCTACCCGGATCTTCATGATCTCCCACTGATCTCACCGCCTTGCCCGGCCCACCCAGGCCATTTGCTCCTGTGCCCCAGGGACGTCGGATCCTCTCCCCTGCTGGGAAGTTCAGAGGAGCCTCCTGCCACACCTTCCAGGACCACACCCCAGCTCCGCACGGTGCAGACCTTGCTTTACACCTGCCGGAGCCTCGTGTGCTCTAGGCTTGGTCCTGCTACAGCTGCTCACCTGCCCCGTGCACCCACCCCGCCACCTCTGGGCACCTGTACTGGAAACCTCTGCCCTTCCCTTGCCTTTACCGCAGCCCTGGGGGATGTCTGGGGCTAAAGGGTGACACAGTTTCTATCCCGGGGTTCCCCTGCTCTGGGGGCCATGAGAAGCTGATACCTGCATGCTGGCCACGCTGCCCCGGCGGCTGCTGCTCTGACTCTCAGACACTGGCTGATTGCTGTAGCATAAGGCATCGAAGGCCAGGATGCCCCCGACGCAGTCCCCAATCAGGCAGATCTACAGGGGGAGAGGCCCCAGAGGCCTGAGTGCCCGCCCTGTTTGCTGGGGTGCCGGCCAGGGAGAGCCACCACCTCTTGCCCTGCAGGGTTTCTGTCTTCCCTTCCTTCATCCCACGACTCACCTGCCCGTTGAAGGTCATGCCCTCCTGGGACTTGATGAAGTCCCCGTAGGCAAGGTTGGCCCGCTGAATCACCGTGGCAATCGCCTCCTGGTACTGGGGTGAGGAGGTGGCCAGCAGGGGCAGGGCGGCCAGGGGGATGTGGTCCTGGCTGCTGGACAGACAGCCTTCATCGTGGCTGTAGGGGCTAAGGCTGGGGGAGGGGGCCCGGTCAGAAGAGAGCAGGAAGCCTCAGCTCGGCCCAGTGGGCCCCTCTCCCCAGCCAGGGCAGCAGGGCTGGGGCTGCCTGCCACCTGAGGGCCTCCGCTGTGAGTCGGCAAACCTCATGGGGTCACTTGTGGGCCAGGCCTTGGAAGTTTGAGGCACAGGGCGGGGGAGTAAGGCCCTCTGTCCCAGAGGCGGGTCAGCGTCTTCCACGTCACAGACAGGGCAAGTGCTAGTCTCCTCTGTAAGCTCAGCCATCTGTACAGGTTTTGCCACCTCCAGACGGAAGGGGCTGGATGCCGAGTCTGGACATCTAGACGGGGGTCCTGACACTAGGGGAGAAGCCTGACCCTCAGGGCCAGGTGGTCTGGGGCCTATGCACTCACTTGGAGACGAGGGCAAAGGCATCAGAGCAGATGGGCGGGCAGGGCACCAGGCGGATGGCGAGGTGGCCCAGGGCGCTGGGGTAGTGCACACGCATGACGGTGTCGAACACGGTGGCGATGGTGTTGGCGTCGCCCTGCTTGGAGCTGGGGTCCCCGGCACCCGTGTCCAGGATGGTGCCTCCATGCAGCAGCAGGAGCAGCACGTGGATCTTGGAGGCTGGCGCAGCCAGGGGTGGGCTGACCTCGTCCTGTGCAGGTCGGGGGGGGGGGGGTGGCGGGGAGAGGGGGGCGTGGCATCAACTCCCTGCGGACTCAACCCCTTGCCGGGTCCTTGTCACCCCAGGAGGAGGCCCATCTGGCCCACTGTTCCCTCTGAGAACCCCGATTTCAGTTCCTGAGCTACAGGGCCTGGTGTTAGCCACCTCGACCCCTTCCCTGGGGGAGGCGGCGATGGCCCCTTTCTTCCTCCCCAAGAGCGGCCCTGCTCCCATCAGCCAGTCTGAACAAAAGCACAGACTCCGCTTCCTGTCAGGGGGCCCAGGCAGCAGTTTCTGGCCTTGGCGAGGAGGCACAGGCGCATCCCATGGGGGGGCCTCTGGAGCCCGCCTGCCCTCCGTGTGTCTGTGCCCGGGAGGACGGTGATCCTGGGCACTTGGCCTGCAGCTCCGAGCCCTCCCCCATCTACACAGGGCCTCTCCTCCGTCCCCTGTGCTGTCATTCTCAGACTCTCTCCAAACATCTTAGAGCAGGGAGGGGATGCAGATGTGTCTGTCTGAACCCACCTAATTTGGGAGGGGTAACGATCCCACGTCTGGCTGGCCAGGCCTGCACGTGAGGTCAAAGTGAGACCTGAGACTGGTACACATCTGCATGGGGTATGGAACGATTCCATTTAGAGAGGAGGTGGTGGTGGCGGCCCAGAGAGGTCAAGAGACATGTCTAATGTCACGGAGCGCATCATAAGCTGGACTGGAATCCAAAGCTTCTGCCCCCGGTTCAGTGTTTTCCCTCCAATCCAGGCTGTGGCCCCATCCCCAGGGACCTTTCCCCACCTTAACTTCTGACGTGCGACTGGAGGAGCCAGGGCCAGGGCCTAAGAGAGGCCACTGGGAGTACTTGCCATGCCCTTAGTATGCCTAGGTGTGTGGGGGACAAGGAGGAGGAACTGAAGAGAGAGGCCTATCCCTAAGGAACCTTGGAGACAGACCGAGGGCCTAAAGCCACCTGGAAGGCCCATATGGGGACAGCTGGCCCTGAAGTGGGCCACCGCGTGGTGTGTCGGGGGGCAGAGTAGGGCCCAAGTGCCAACACAGAGCCCAGGCGAGGCATGGGCAATACAGGCAGTGGACCCAGGGGCTGGCGAGGCTGCCAGAAAATGGCAGGGTATGGGCTGGCCCAGGAGCCATTGAGCAGCAGATGACCTTGAGTGAAGGAGGAAGGCAGGCCGGTGGGTGGTATGGGGTCTGGAGCCACAGCAACACTGGGCTGCCTCATCTCCAAGAGGAGGCTGGTCATCGGCCGGCGGTGGGCCCCGGGGTCTGGGCAGGAACACCTGCCCAGCAGAGTTTCGGAGCGATTCCTGTCCCCACGTGAGGATTGCTCACAAGTGGCCCACCTGGCAGGAGTGAATTCACAGCCAGGGCAAGGCGGGGCCACCAGCTGCCCAGACCAGCAGCCCCGAGGGCTTAACAACACTGCCCGGTGAGTGGCTCAAGGAAGGAATGTCTTGCGGGCAACCTCACCACCACCCAGTCAGGGAGGGGGAGTCCAATGGCCCTGAGAAACCCAGGCCGGGCGGGGGTGGGCAGTGAGAGGCCTAGAGAATGCCTCCTGTGCCTATCTTCTGGGATCCGGGCACCGGAGGCTGGGACTGTTCGGGGCCAATTGGAGATACAGCTCTCCTCCCATTCATGTCTAATACTGGGGCACACCCCACCCCCACCAAGACTCGAACCCAGTAGGAACAGAGCCCACGAGAGGGAGAGTGTGGAGGCAGGCCTGGGAGCCGTGGGGCCAGCTCTGGAGAGCCAGGGGGTCCCCATCAGTGTCTCCATAAAGCCGTACCCCCTCCACAAGGCTGGGAGTGGGGAGTGGAGGCTCCGGTTTGGGGGCCATTGGAAGCAGAGGGATCTGACTTTGGATGGCCATGCCCCAGAATCGGTGCTGGGTTCCAACAAGCACACTGCATCCTGTGGCAGATCTAGAGCCCAAGGTCCCTTCTGCCCCTCCCGAGGGGCCGTCAGAGCTGTGCGTGCCCTAGGTGGGGAGGAGACTCTGCTTTATTTGCCATTAACCCCCAATTGGGAATCAACTCCCCTTGTCCCAGTTTGCCTTCTAGAAAAGCCCACTTTGACCTCAGACCTCAAAGCAGAAAAGCCCAAGTTGGGGAGGGCAGTGTGGGCGCTGCTCCTCTTCCCCCACCCCCCCCCCACCCGGTCCAAACTCCCCAAGCGTCCCGAGTTCCCGGCTCTGTCTCTACCTTGGGCATCGTGGCTCCCGCGCCCCATGCAAACAGCTCTGACCGCCCACAGCTGGAAGAGAAGGGGCCTGAGCTTCGTGCGAAGAACCCCCAAAGCGGACACAGGCACTCTACCAAGACAGCTTTATTGGACACTGGGAGCCCCACGTGCCCCCAGCAGGGCAGCGGCCACCAACCACATCACTTCTGCCTAGACAGCTTTTGCTTCCTTCCCTTCCATCTCATGTTCTTCAGCAAATGCAGAAAAGCTGGGCTCAAGGTGGGGATCTTATGTTTGGTCTGGAATTTACAAATTTCTCATTCCACTTTCCACAGGTGGAGCTGGGTCAAGGCCTTCCTTGGGGGCTGTCTGAAGGCCCTGTTGGTTCTCAGGGACGGCAGGGGAGGGAGGAAAGGAGGCCCCAGGCCTCTCTCTGATGGCCACCTCTCTCCACTGGCCACCTACGCCAGTGTGCATGGGAAGCTACGGGTGCCAAGTTCTCACGGGACAGGTCCTACAAGCTCACCCCCCCTCCCCCTGCAGCCCTGGGGGCCCTCTGCCACCCGGCACCCACCTCGATGATGTTCAGCTGCTCCACACTGGAGGCCACCCTGAACTCGGGGGCACTCTGCCGGTACAGACCGTCTGCAACACAGAAGCAGTGGGTGCTGTGAGCGGAGGGGCAGCCGGGCAGCCCCAGGCCCACAGGACAGAGGCCGTGACCCTGACAAGCGGGGCCTTGGGTGTTCCCAACCCCCCCACCCCTCCATGCCCAGCGCTGCTAAGGAGCTGGGGCAGAGAAGGGCTTGGCCCCTGCGCCACCCTCCCCCAGGCCCTGTAGCGCCCCCCAGACCAAGGTACCCTGTGTGTCCTCTGGCTCAGGGCTTTCAATTTTGTCCATGAGGTCATTGGAGTTCCATTTGGTGATGTCCTTGGGGAATATTTCCTCTGAATCGGACAGGTCCTCTGGGGAGGAGAGAGTGGGGCTTCAGCACCGACCCATTCGAAGGCAGGGACTGAGGGGCACCGGGAGGCCTGGCTGGGAGGTACAGGGGTAGGTGTGGCCACTGTGGGGGTTCCCATGCTCCTCTGGCCCGTACCCTCCATGCTGGCTTCCGCCCTCTCCCTCCTTAGCAGGATGAACACCTGACCAGCACCCGCAGGGCTTCTGCCTGACCTTTTCTCAAAATTGTGTAACGTTCACGTAACATAAAATTCACCATCTGAACCATTTTAAAGTAGCATTTAGTCCATTCACAATGCTGTGCAACTGCCACCTCTATCTGGTTCCAGAACATTTCCACCTCCCCGAACGGAAGCCTTGTAGCCATTAGCAGTCACACCCCGTGCCCTGGCCCCTGGTGACCACCTGTCTAGTTTCTGTCTCCATGGATTTGCCTGTTCTGGACATTTCACATAACGGAATCACACGGGATGCGGCCTTTTGTGTCTGGCTTCTCTCACTGAGCATCATACTATCAAACTCCATCTACATTGTAGCAGGTGTCAGAGTTTCGTTCTTTTTTAGGGCCCAGTCCTATTTCACAGTATAGACGGACCGCATCACGGTATGTTGTTTCTCCACTCATCAGCTAATGTTCCTGTTTTCAACATCTGCACGAGTACAGCCCGGCGAGAGGCGCTGCTCTGAACACTTCCATCCATTTCTCTAGTTTCTGCTTTTCTGAGACCATCGGCCTGGGGACCACGGGGCTGGAGGCAGCTGTGCAGACACTGGCTTGTACTGGTCACTCCTCTGGCCACACAGCGGGTCAGCAGGTGCTTCCCCGGCCACGGCTGCTCTGGCATCTCCTACTTCGCTGTCTCTTCTCCCTTCTGTTTTTGTTTTTTGATTTTTTTTTTTTTTTTAAAGTTCCTACATTAGGGGCGCCTGGGTGGCTTAGTCGGTTAAGTGTCTGACTTCAGCTCAGGTCACGATCTCACGGTTTAGGAGTTCGAGCCCCACGTCAGGGTCTGTGCCGACAGCTCAGAGCCTGGATCCTACTTCGGATTCTGTGTCTCCCTCTCTCTGCCTCTCCTAGCTTGTGCTCTATGTGTCTCTCTCTCAAAAATAAACAAACATTAAAAAAAAAAAAAGGTCCTACATTAGATGTGTATTTTCCTCTTGTCAGGGACTCACAGCCAGGGGAGGGTGCGCCTCTTAGCTTGGCTGGGGTGGGATGGGATGCCCCAGACACCTTTCTTCACCCTTGGGGAGGACCCAGGTACCGAGGGCGGCTCAGGAACCACCTGCCACCCTCTGCAGCTCCCCATCTTAGATCCCTCTTGCCTGGACACTGACACCCCCTCCCCCCACCAAGTTTTCCCTCGAGACCAGCCAGTTAACTAAGATGCCACAACAGTCAGGTGGCTGCAGCGTGAGAGGGCTCTGGCCTGCCGCTGCCCTGCCTAGCGCCTGTGGGCAAGTTCCCCTCCCTTTCCGAGCCGGGGTCCCGCCTTGTAAATCACAAGCCGGAGAACCGTCTCCACAGACCTGTCTGCCAGTCGAGAGGAACGGCCAAGGTATGAAGCAAGTGAATGTTTAGCACAGTTGACCCTTGAACAGCACGGTGGGGGGAGAGGGGAGGGAGGGAGGGCTGGGACGCTGGCCCCCCGCAGAGTCAAAAATCCGTGTAAAACTTCTGACTCCCCAGAAACTTAACCACTAACAGCTTGCTGTTGACCGGAAGCCCGACCGGTGACATAAACAGTCGACTGACACACATCTCGTATGTCATATGTATTATATACCATATTCTTACAATAAACTAGGCTAGGTGGAAAAAAACCAATGTTGTTAAGAAAATCATAAGGCAGAGAAAATACATTTACGGTACTGTATTTATTGGGGGAAAAAGCACGTGTGAGTGGACCTGGAGAGTTCAAACTCGTGTCGTTTGAAGGTTAAGTGTACCCGCACCTTCCCAGCACAGGTGGGTGATTCGTCAGGCCGTGTGCTCACTGTGTTGATTTGGGGATTAGTGGGAAAATGGGCACCTCACATATTTCCGGCTCATCGCAGTTTCTAAAGTTTCTACATTCGGTGTACTTGCATTTAACCAAGGCAAAAAACAAGGTCATTGCAAAAATTTAGAAAACTGTAAGATGTCATGCTTTGGTAAAGCTGCTTGTGGAAATAAACTCACATATGGAAAAAAGCCCCCGTCTGACTGTATAAATCCATTCTGAGGGGGACGGTGCTCGAGAGAACAGTCCCTGCCTGCCAGGCCCGGCAGAGACATCCCGGCACGTGGCCAGGGTGAGGCCCCAGCCTCCCGGGGATTTCGTCTCATGCCCTGCCCCACTGCTGCTTCAGTCCACGCCTCCTGCTCCAACCCTGCCCAGACCCTCCCCCTCTGCCCCGGGAGGAGCCACCGCCTACCATGAGCGTCGAAGTACTCATCTTCCGAGCCTTCGTCCGAGTCCCGGGCGATGCTCTGCATCCTCCACTCGGAGATGCTGTGGCGGGAAGGGCTGGCTGGAAGGCAAAACCGCAGGCTGACCCACCACCCGGCTGGGTGAGGCCGGGCGGGCGGAAGGCAGGCGGAGGTGATGGGCCGGGAGGGCTCAGGAGAGAACGGAGGGAGAAATGAGGGGTGGGGTGACCCTGGCTCATTTTGGTGGAAGCTCCTGGAACTTTCGAGACGGCCCCGCCCAGCCCACCTGGCACAAAACAGGTGTGTCCCGGGGAGGACAAGGAAGGGGGAGGGTGTCAGGGATGAGGCCAGGACGCACAGTCGCACAGACCTGGGTCTGCTCCTGTGCCTTTGACCTGGGTCTTTCCGGGAGCGAGCCCCTTCAGTTCCCCTGCAGCAGAGCAGACAGATGGGGCTGCGGGGTGCTGTCGGCAAGTGAGCACATAAAAGGCATCGACACATATACATACACAGATGCCTTCAGCACACAGACGGCCAAGCCTGGTGTGGGGAAGCTGGACTCACAGAGGGGACTCCTGGCTCTACACAGGATAATCCTGGTTTCCCAAACAGCCACGGTGCTTTTGCAAAAATTCTCCCGAGAAAAGCCTCTCTCAGGATGTAAAGGCTTTCAGACTCCTGCAGCCTGGCTCCCACCACAGGAGCAGAGGCCCCTCCTGGCTGTGCTGACAGGTAGGTACCCACTAAGAACCCCCCCTCCTCCTGGGAAGCCCAGCTCCTCAGAGCTGCAGCCATCTGGGCCCCAGGAGAGGCTGGGAGCTGGGTTCCCACATGGCCAGCCTGTCCCACCTGGCCCTTGTAGGTGAGTCTGGGCCACCTGCTTTGTGTTGGGGGGAGGGGACAGACACCCTGGGCTCACTCTGAACTGGTGGGGGGCGGTTACCGGCAGAATGGTTCTGACCCCCCTCAGGCGTGGCCCACAAGGTCTGGGGGCAAGAGTCCCCGGGAGGAGCCAGAATTCTCTGACGGTGGGTGGCAAGGGGCTGCCCGGAGCGGGGGTGACGGCTGTTGCCGGGGTGGTAAAAGGCGGAGCTACGGCGCTCACCTCCCCGCTTGGACGACCTCGAAGACTTGGAGGATGTGGACCACTGCTTTTTGAGACCCCGGCCCGCCAGGGGTTCCCCGCTGCTGCTGCTGCTGCTGCTGGGCTGGGCGGGCTCCCCAGCGACCTGGACCTGGATGGCTTCGTCCTTGGCCAGCTGCACAGCCTCCTCGTCATCCTCATTGAACCGGGCCATCTTGCGGGACAGCATGAGCTGTGCCTCCTTCTCCAGCTCCCGGATGTTCTCCATGTTGAGCCCGTACCATTCGTCCTGCCAGCACCAGGCCTGCCGGTGGGCCCTGACCATCACCTTCCGCAGGCCTGGTCCCGGGCAGCGGCAGGGGGAGGGGAGAGACAGGAGACACGGGCACTGTCAGCCCCCAGGGCCGGGCTCGGGGCTGGGAGGCAACCCAAGGTCATCCCCACCGTGTGGCCGTGGGCAAATCACTGCCCTCCCTACCCTGTGCCTCAGTTTCCCCATTTGCAAATGGCTCACAGATGACCTCACAAGCTCACGGTGGTTGTATAACTAGAGCAGGGGTGCCTCCTAAGGGAATGTGCCTGCTCAGAAGCCACACTGAATTTTGGGGGGATTCCTGCCCCAAGGGGAGACGGAGGGGGGATTCCTGCCAGTTTTCTGTCTCGGTTGGTATCTATACACTTTTCCTGTCCAATTTCCACATGGAAATCAAGTTCCAGTTCAAAGTGGGTTGGTCCTTTTTCTTATAAGTAGAACATATATACACATAAAATAAGACACAAAAGAAGATAAAGATACAGAAGAATATATCATGCGTGTAAAATAACGAAAGTAAGAACTTTCAAGGTAGAAAGGATAATAAAAGAACTTTAGGGACAGAAGGCAGATGGGGGTTGCCTTGGGCTGGGGGTGGGAGTGGGGGTGACTGTGAACAGGAACGAAAGACTGAGGTGATGGAATGTTCTAGAACAGTGTGCACGACTCTGAATATACTGCCACTTATAGAACTGTCCTCTTGCAAGGGGTGAAGTGTATGGTGTGTAAAATTAGGCCTCAATAAAGCTCGTTAAGAAAACATTAAGAAGAAATAGAGCATCCTTACCCACACCACCCAGTGAGGGAGCAGACATGACCAGTAACAGGGAGCCCTTGGCTGGCCCTCCTGGACGCATTCTCCCCCTGCCCAGTCCAGCTTCAACTCTGTGTTTATTTGCTTTTCTTTCTGGTTGGAGCACACAGGTGTGTTTTTCTACACGATAGGTTGGGTTGGTTTGCAGGTTATTGACATTTTTACATGTATGTGTCAAGCTGCATGTATTTTCCTGCCGCCTGCTGTTTTGGGTGAGTTTCAGGTTCGTTGCTGCATGGTGTTTATTTGTTTGAAATACCACATTTCATTTATTCCTTCTTTTGCCATTGGGCCATTGTTTGTCCACTTGGCTTTTACAAATCTGCTGCTCTGAACATTCTGGAATGTGTATAAGAGTTTCTCCAAGGGGCAAACCTGGGAGGGACATCACTGGGTCTCAAGGCATGCATCTTCCACTCTCCTAAAGAAAGTAGAGCGGCTTTCCAAGTGGTCAACCCATGTCATGTCCTCAGGCAGCTCTATGGTGACCATTCCTCCTGGCTCAGGCTGCTCTGCCTCCCCAGAAATACTTCCCAGATCCCTTCACCCTCTGCCCTCCTTCAGCCAAGACTATGTCCTCCAAGTCCTGGGCAATGGCCTCAGGCATACTATCCTTGGGTCCCACACTCAACAGACCATCTGATGAGAAGCCACGGCCCCACTGCTATGAGAGTATCAGTTCAGATCCAGGGTAGCTAGGAAGGGAGATCTGGGGTCAGACCCAGCACTGGGTCTCTGCTTCCTCCTCTACAAACGGACGGGTGACTTGGCTATCCTCACAGGTCATTGTGAGCTGTTACAGCACATGTGAAGCATATCATCAACAGTGTGGGACATCTGTTCCAAAGATTCACATCTGAACCAAAACCCTGGGCCTTGAAGTCAAAAGATGTCTGTCCAGGTGCTACTCCTGGCTCATGAGCTTGGGCTGGGCCAGGCCCTTGGCACTGATCTCATGCCATGACCTGGGTAGGGGCAGGGGGGCAGGTAGGGAGCTGGGGGTGCTAGGGGAGGGAGGAGCCCGGGTCAGCTCTAGCTGGGCCAGGAGCCCCAGGTTGGTCCTGCTGGTCCACCTGTTCCCTGGACACCTGCTCCAGGCCGGGCTCCACAGTGTGAGGGCACCACGGCGTCCAAGGCCCTCTGTGCCTGGAACGTCCAGCCCATAGGGGAGGCAGAGCTGGGGCCTGGGGTAAGAGGTGCAGGTAAGAGCAGGGAGGCTGTCTCCTGGGGCTGCTCCTCCTCAGGGGGCTGGCACTATATGCTACAAACACAAGCCAGTCAAGAGTGTCTGGGGGCAGGGCCCGGGGACGCCGCTTGTCATCTGTAGGTGCTCGGCAAGCAGCCAAGATAAACTGGGCAGGAAGCTGCGCATGGGCTCTGGGTCAGCTTCTGGGAGGAGGAGGGACCTGCCCCGGACGCGGAGGGAGGCGGCGGGCACTGGCGAGCTCACCCGTGTCGTGGATGAACCTCTCGATCTTGGACTGCATGCCCCAGTAGCGGAACTCGACCTTACAGAGCTTGTAGGCGCACATGATGGGGAAAACCTGCTGCTTGTACTCTTCGATCCAGTTGTCAGACAGCGGCCCCCGCTGTGTCTTGATCGAGTGGAATAGCTTGGGGTCCTCTTCTGTCTTATACTCACTGGGGGGTACGGGGTCCTTGACAATGTCGATGAAGTCTGTGGGGGAGAGCCCGCCGGTGGCCAGTTCCGCCCAACCTCCAGCCCGCCCCTCCCTGTTCAGTCCCCTCCCCTGTGTCTCTGCCCTCCCCCTCCAAGTCCTCACAGGCCTCTGGGCCTCCTGTGCCATAGGCCGGACCTGGGATTGGGGATGCTGCTCTGGGCCACTCTGACTTTGGGCTCTCCTGACCTCAGGGCCTGTGTCCTCCCATGACTCTACCACTTGCCTAAGCAGACAAATTAGATGATGAGCTTAGGAGGCACAGGGAGATGAGGTTCCACAGAGGATGTGGAACAGGGTGGTGGCTGCCGGGGGGCAGGGAAACAGAAGGGAAGGCCGGGAAGAGATTCCCAGAAAAGGTGGCATTTCAGCTACAGGAGCAAAGCAGCAAAGCCGAGAAGGTTCCAGCAGCAAAGGATGGGGAGAGTTTGGGGGGCCACTAGAGTGTCTGTATCGGGGGAAGGGATGGGGATGCGTCCTTCTCTCACCAGGCTGGGCACCCACACGGTACCCTGAGGGGAAATGGCGCTATATTCTCCTTATATATACACGTAGTGGCTTTAAGGCAGGCTGGCCGGGTAGGAGCCCCTCTTAGGTCAGAAGGGAAGAGATCGGCAGGAGGTGTCGGTCCTGAGAGCGGGTAGTGGATGCCACAGGGCTGGGTGCTGGGGAAACAGGACTGGGGGCGGTGGGACCTGGCTGGGTGTGGGGTATGGATCCAAGAGGAACAGCAGCAACTTGGGGCAGGGCCTGGGCCATGCCACCTCTTGTCCCAAGTCTCTCCCTGCTGTGCGGGCTCCCAAGGCATGCATGTGTTACAGAGGACTGGGTACACACTTGGGGTACATAAACCCCAGAAGAGAGTTTGTGGCTCAGAGAGGCCCTTTTCGGGATGCATGGGGATGATGGCACCCCGCGGGCTCTGCCCTGGCCACGCTCTGTCTCATCTCCCCTGCTTGCTGGCCCACAATGAATCCACGTGGTGGTTTGCAGGCACAGACGTGGGCTCCACGGAAATCAGCAAGGGGTCAGGAGCTCCCCAGGGGCAGGGGCTTTCGGGGGAGGGACAGACATCCTTCGTGGAGCAGACCACATGCGCTGCCTGCGCGGACAGGCAAAGGCCAAGGGGCAGGCTGGGACATGGATGAGTCATATCACAGAGACTTAGGAATCACAGCAGGTGGCCTCCGGAGGCAGCCCATGGAGGTCAGGCCTTGTCTGAGGCTGGCTGCACCTGAGCTGGCAGAAGGCCTGTATCATGCGGGGTCCATCCCTCCTGTTGTGGGTCGAATGTGTCCCCTACAAATTCGTATGTTGGAGTCCTAACCCTCCAGTTCCTCAGAACGTGACCTTATTTGGAGATAAGGCCTTTAAAGAAGGAACCAACTTAAAATGAGGTCATTAGGGTAGGCTCTACTCCACTATGACTAATCTGCTTCTAAAAAGGGGAAATTTGGACACAGACAAGCACACGGGGAGAGCGCCACGTGAGGATGAGGGAGAGATTAGGGTGATGTATTTATATGCCAAGGAATGCCAGAAACTGCCAGGAGCCACCAGAAGCTAGGGGAAGGGCATGCACAGATTCTCCCTCAGTGACTCCAGAAGGAGACAAGCCTGCTCACACTCTGACCTCAGACTTTAGCGAGACACTAAACTTCTGTGTTTAGCCCCCCAGCCTGTGGTACATTGCGGCAGCCTGTTCACACTGATAGAGCTCCCAAAGCCCCATGGGGCCTGAAAACTCCAGCAGGAGGGAGGGAGCCGGGTGAGGGGGTCCCGGGGAGAAGCCCTTCGTGCCCATCAGAGGCTGCCTGAGAGCTGGACCCTGTGGTGCTGGGAGCCATCTGTCTAACGCCGGCCATGCACCTGCCTCCGTGGCGGCTCACCCCACACGGCCTGGAATGCAGCTCTCTAACCTGGCCACGCACCTGCCTGAAGCATCTCCGTGGTGGCGTGCCCCGCAGAGCCTGGAACCCACCGGTTGCAGACCAGTGGCTGCTGAGCTGCAGGTGGCCCACAGATGTGGTTTGCTTGGCCGGTTTACTAAGTTTATTTAGGAATTGGAAGATTTCACATGCAAATCCTGATTCTCAGGCCTCTCTTAAGTTAACAGACGGGCTGTTTCCTCATGTACAGTCAGCTGGAGAGGCCACTCACCGTCAAGGGGACACAGGCCCTGCAGTGTGCCAGAGCCCCCACAGGCTGCACCCACGCACAGCCGCCAGCCTGAGATGGCCCCCTGAGCACACACGCGCCCTCCAGGGGAGGAGGACAACTGGAAGGGATTGAGGGAAGGGGCTTGAGTGGGAAAGGCACTGAGCCTCAATGTGCACGTCAGGAAAATGGGGCCAAGGAGTCTGATCCTGCCATCCCTGTGCCCTCATGCTTGCTGGGACTATGACCTCCCTGCCCAGGACAGGAGCCAGTCTGGAGCCTTCCAGGCCTGGAGACAAGGGGCAGAGCCAAGGGACATGTAGGCAGGGACCCTGGAAAGTGGCCCTGCAGGGCTCCTGCCCTTCCCAGGCGGGGAGCGCTATAGTGGTGGTTACCGATTGTCAGCTGGCTCTTCTCCACAGGAGACAGGCTGAACACATTAGGGTTTTCTCCAGCATCGGTTTTATAAAAGGTTTCGATGTCGATGGAGAATTTCTCCACAAAGGGGCACGTGAACCTGTGGGGAGGAAAGCATACATCAGGACTAGTGCCTGCAGGGGTGGGTCAGGGCCTGTGGGACCCCACTGGGCAGGAGAGGGAGAAAGGGTGGGGGTGGTGGCTGAGACTTGCCTGTCTGTCCACCTCCTGGACCTCTCCTTGTCCAGGCCAAGGCCAGGCTGGGGGTGGGGAATGTGTTTGGGGAGAGGGGGTCAGAAACATCGGAGGAAGCTTCCAGAAGCCCTATGGCCATTGTTCATGTGTGTAAGGCATGGATGGCCATAGACACACAGACATACCACAAGCCATGTGGCATGAACCCAGTAGGCTGAATCTAAATTAGCACTCTGTGACACCTCCCCAACCCCTTACCCCCCAAGCCACCAGGTCTGACGACAAGGCCACACCCCTTTCTCTTGGCTGGACATGAGCTCAGAGGAGGATAGTACTTCTGGGAAGATGAATAACCTCGGTGGACCCTCTGATAAGCCCAGGTCCTCATTTAGTGGGGAGAATGAAGCCCCAGGAGACTCGTGGGGACTCCACTTGCACAGTAAGTGGGTGGCCAGCTGGGAGCAGCCCCCTATCTGTTACACTCAGCTACACTGGGTGGGTGGGAGCACGGAGTGAAGAGCCTCCCTTCTTGGGGAATCCAAAGGAAGCCCTGTTCAAAGTGGAAAATAAGAAAGCACTGCTGCAGGTGCTGAAGGTCTCAGGGTCAGAGAGAATCTCTGGGCCATCTGGTCTACCCTTGGTTCACGTTTCTTCCTAGCTGGTTGGTTAGTGGCCCCGCATTCCCAGGTGATTAACGTGAGTTTGTATTCCCTGAGCCTTCCTAGATGGCAAAGGGATCTCAGGTGGCCCTCACCTGACTCATGCTTTCCCGGCCTTCCTGGGAAGGTGCAGTAACAAGGGGGACACCCTCCCCTTTCCTGCCTGTTCTCTGAGGATGGAGACTCCTGGAATGGAGACTTAGCTCCCCAGGAGTCTGAGCCTCTTGGAGGGAGGGTGAGCCTACTTAGAGGGCCACCCCCGGGGTTCCTTCCCCACCAGAGGGTGGCGCCGGTGTGGGGAAAGGCTCACCTGGTTCGGGTGTAGGGGTAGGCATTCCAGGACTCCTCCACCACCCTCAGGGCCGCTTTGGGCAGGATGGAGCGGAACCAGCTGGGGATGTGCATGCCCACATGGTACACCTTGTGCGTGTACTGTCCAGAGCCGCCGGGGCCATCCGTGTATGGCCGGTTCTCCAAGATCTCCACTCCGCTACCTTGGCCATACGTCTCATTACGGCTCTTCTTCTACAGGGACAAAAGCATTCACCATGTGTTGGGGCCAGAGCACTCTGCAGAAGGGAAGGGGCCCAGGAGACCAGGCCCAGGGGTGCTGAGAGGAGGAGGGGCTTTGGCCAACCAGGCTGGCTTCTTCTGTGTTGCTTCAGGACTCCCAGATCCAGGCCCAGACTCCACATGCCCCTGTACTCCTACAGGAGACTCAACAGGCCATGGTCTCCCTGTGAGCTCTAGCACTGCCTGTGCAAACTCCTCCCTTCTGGCTCCCATCAGTCCCAGGACTAAAAGTGTTCCCAGCATCAGGAACAAGTTGAGGATGCCCGCTCTCTAGGTTCTATTCAACATTGTACTGGAAGTTCTAGCCCAAGACATTAGTCAAGAAAAAGAAACAATCAGAGGCACTCAAATTGGAAAGGAAGAAATAAAACCACCTCAATCTGCCAAGGACATAATCTTATATATGGAAAATCCTGAAGAATCCCCCCCCACCTCCAAACCTGTTAGACAAAGTAAATGAATTCAGCAAAGTTGCAGGATACAAAATCAACACACAAAAATAAGCAATGCAAAAAGGAAATTAAGCAACCATTTCCATTGACAAGAACATACAAAAGAATAAAATATCTTGGATAAATGTAATGAAGGTGAAGCACTCAGATACTGAAACTATAATACATTGCCAAAAGAAAGTAAAAACCTAAGTAAATGGAAAGACATCTGTGTTCATGCACTGGAAGATTTAATATTGTTAAGAGGTCAATATTCCCCAAAGCATTCTACAGATCCAGTGCAATCCCTGTCAAAATCCCCAGTGGCCTTTCTGGTAGCTGTGGAAAAACTGATCATAAAATCAGGAAGGATCAGAGAAGGATCTCAAATAGCCAAAACAATCTCGAAAACAAAGCAAAGCAAAGTTGGAACATTTACATTTTCCTACACAAAATCTTTTTTTTTAAGTTATTTATTTTGAGAGACAGAGCGAGAGAGAGAGAGAGAGAGAGCGTGCACAAGTAGGGGAGGTGCAGAGAGAGGAGAGTGAGAATCCCAAGCAGGCTCCGCATTGTCAGTGCAGAGCCTGACACAGGGCTTGATCTCCCAAATCATGAGATCATGACCTGAGCCAAAATCAAGAACTGAACGCTTAACAGACTGAGCCACCCAGGCACCCTGCTACAAAAAATCTTGCCATAGGCGCGCCTGGGTGGCTCAGTTGGTTAAGCATCCAACTTTGGCTCAGGTCATGATCTCATGATTCATGGGTTTGAGCCCCACGTCGGGCTCTGTACTGACAGCTCAGAGCCTGGAGCCTGCTTCAGATTCTCTGTGTCCCTCTCTCTCTGCCCTCCCCTGTTCACCACACTCTTTCTCTCTCAAAAATAAATAAACATTACATTTTTTTTCAGAAAATCTTGCTATAAAATTACAGTAATCAAAACAATGTAGTACTGGCATAGGATAGATCTAAAGAATAGGGCTGAAAGTCTACAAATAAACACATATATCTACATACTATATGTTTTGATTTTCAACCAGAGTGCTGAGGTCATTCAATGAAGGAACGAAGTCTTTTCAACATGTCCCAGTACACTGGTGAGATAATTGGATATCCACATGTAAAACAATGAAGTTGGACCCCTACCTCACATCATATATAAAGATTAACTCAAAATGGATCAAAAACCTAAATGTAAGAGCTTAAACTACACAACTCTTAGAAGAAATCATAGGAGTAAATCTTTATGACCTCGGATTTGACAATGTTTTTTTTTAAATAGGATACCCAAAGTACAAACAGCCAAAGAAAAAATAGATAAATTGGACTTCATATAAATTTTTAAACTTTTGTGCATCAAAGGATACTATGAAGATAATGAAAAGACAACCCACAGAGAAAGTTCTTGTAAATAATGTATCTGATAAGGGACTTGTATTTAAAATATATAAAGAACTACTGCAACTCAACAACAAAGATACAATCCAATTCAAAAATGGGCAAAGGACTTGAACAGGCATACCTCCAAAGAAGTACATCAATGGCCAACAAGCACATGAAAAGATACTCAACATCACTAGCCACTGGGGAGAGGTAGATCAAAACTACAAGTTACCACTTCAGACCCACTAGGATGGCTACAAAGACAGACCATAACAAGTGTTGTGAGGATGTGGAGAAACTGGAACCCTCACGCATTGCTGGTGGGAATATAAAACGGTACAGCAGCCGCGGAAAACAATTTGGCGGTTCTTCAAAAAGCTCAACATAGAATTGCCGTATGACCCAGCAATTCCACTGCTAGGTAAACATCCAGGAGAAGGAGAACATGTCCACACAGAAACCTGTGCTCGAATGTTCACCGCAGCATTAGTCACAAGAGCCAAAAGGTGGAAACAACCCAATGTCAGTGATCTGAAAAATGGATAGACAAATTATACCCACACAATGGAGTAAGAGTCGGCCATAAAAAGGAAGGAAGGGCCAAAACCTGTTACGACGTGGATGAACCCTGAGAACAATGCGTAAGAAGCCTGACACAAAAGTCCACATAGTGTACGATCCCATTGACACGAAATGTCCAGTACAGGCAAATCTGTACAGACAGAAGGCAGATTACTGGTTGCCTAGGGATGGGGGTGGGGGCGGGGGGCTGGGGAGTGACTTCTTGGGGTGATGACAATACTCTAAAATCGTGGTGATGGTTTGACAACCCTGTGAATATGCGAAAAATCCCTAAACTGTACTCTTCAAATGTGTGAACTGTGTGGTGTGGGACTCACACCTCAATAAAGCTGGTATAAAACAAAACAAACAAACAGAAACCAATCCTGTGTCTATACTCACTAAGATTTCAGAGAGATCAAACACGGGAAGTGGGAAGGGGCCTCAGTGGCGCTGCCTGAGAGAGAGGACTCCTGGGTCACCTCTAAATGTCTCTCTGCCCCAAATGTTCTTCCCAGTGTCCAAAAGCTCAGGTTTCTACTTATGCAGAAAGCCTCATTCATGGTCAAGGTCCTGGTGACTTTAAGCCCAGCATCTGTTTCCATGGTGACATGACGGCATCACCAAGGCCACCTTCGGTCAGCTTCCTGAATAGCAGGTGTGCACATGCGCGCGCGCACACACACACACACACACACACACACACGCGCTCCCAAGAACACAGTCTCACCCCTGGGGTACAAAGACATGCCATATCTCCACGGCCCAGAGCAGCTGAGTCTCCTTCATAAAAAAAAAATAGAAAGGACCCTGGCGGAGGGCACAGATGGGGTCAGCAGGGATACACCATCCCTTGCTCTTCAAAGGAGCCCACGGAATGCGGCCCAGATTCTGTAATGAAAGCAGAGACCATTTCCCAGACACTTTGTAAGCTCATGCTTCGTGGTGGCTTCACTCGTTATGGTTGTGCTATGTGCTCTGCGTGCACGTCTCCCTTTAGGTAGTGCCACAACCCCTTGAGAAAGGCTGAGTGCTGCTACTGTTCCCAGTTTGCAGAAGGGAAGGTGGAGGCTAAGAGACGTGGAATGACTTGTTCAAGGTACACAGCTTCGAGTGGCAGAGCTCAACCTGTACTCGAGATCCTGTTGGACTCTGGGACCTGTGCAGCCCACAGCATGAAGACACCTTGGCATAAGGCAGGTACTCGGTACTTATTGAGCAAATAAATGGGTTCTAGTCCCAACTCTGTGACCAGTTCCCTCTCACCCTGGACAAGTCACTTCTCTCTGGTCTCAATTTCCAAAACTATAAGGGGAGATGGGGCTACCTATCTGTCTAAGGCCTGGTGTAGTGGGCTAAAGGGCCCCCCAAAATTCACATCCACCCAGAACCTTAGAATGTGGCTTTATGGTCGCCTGGGGTGGCTCAGTCGGTTAAGTGTCTGACTTTGTCTCAGATCGTGATCTCGCCGTTCATGAATTCGAGCCCTGCATTGGACTCACGGCTGTCAGCGCAGAGACCACGTTGGATCCTCTGTTACTCCCTCTCGCTCTGCTCAACCCTCTCTGAATCTCTCTCTCTCAAAATAAAGAAACTTAAAAAAAAAAAAAAAAGAAAAGAAAACAAAGAAAGCAACTTAAAAAAAAAAAGGAATGTGGTTTTATTTGGAAATAGCATCTTCGCAGATATAATTCGTTAAGATGAAGTCACACCGGATTAAGGTGGGTCCTAAATCCAAGGACCATGTCCTTAAAAGACAGACTAAAGGGATGTAGCCACTAGCCAATGAAGCTGGCCGCCACCAGAGGCTGGAGGGGAGCAAGGCAGAATCCTCAGAGGGAGAGAAGGCCTTCAAAGGGAGCAGGCCCTGCGGACACCTTGATTTCAGACTTCTGGCCTCCAGAAGCAAGAGAGAATACATTTCTCTTGTTTTAAGCGCCCCCCGCCCCGGAAACGAACACATCTAGGGTTTGTGGTGACTCAGTGTGAAGGGGACACACAGGTCACAGGAGCCAGGGCCACAAGCAGTGTCTGAAGGCTGAGGCGGGGCACCCAGCCTGCCAGGGAGCTGAGGGTGGAGAAGAGGCAGGGAGGGACAAGGAGCAGGGGTAGGGAAGGTCCCATCCGGCCTCAGTGGGTGACCTAGCCTGAGCTGTCCTCAAACTCCTAGCCAGGGAAAGCCACCATGTCCACTCCCAAGGCTCTAGGGGGGCTCCTTCTTGGCTTCCTCCAGACCCCAGGGCCCCAGGCGTTCCTGGTCTTGTGGCCGCATCACTCGGCTCTCTGCCTCCACCATCACATCACTGTGTCTCTTTCTGTCCTCTCCTCTTCATAATTATAGGGACAATACGTCATTCAATTTAGGGCCCATTCTGTCTTGTCCTTAGATAAGGTCACGGTCTAACATCTGGATGGACATGAATTTGGGGGGACACTGGCCAACCAGCTGAGCAAGCCGTTATGGTCACTCATGCAGGATGGATACCATGGGCCACTTGGGGGCACAAAGGCCACTGTTAGCAGTGGCAGAGCCCCAGGACCCAGACTGGCAGTGCTCTGTACTCCCTGAACAGCACTTTGTTGTCTCTGCACAGTAAAGATTAGCTGAATGAGGGCGCCTGGGTGACTCAGTCAGTTGAGTGCCCAACTCTTGATTTCAGCTCAGATCATGACCTCACAGTCCATGGGATCAAGCCCTGTGTCAGGCTCCATGCTGACAGTGTGGAGCCTGCTTGGGATTCTCCCTCCCTCTCTCTCTGCCCCACCTCTGCTCTCTCTCTCTCTCTCTCTCTCTCAAAATAAATAAACAAAAAAATTAGCTGAATGAGCAAAAATGGATTCTGCTCTCAACTATCGCCAGTTCCATCTGAGTCTGGGCACCCCCTCCAACTTTGAAGCTAACACCCCAAAGGGCTGAACCCCTGGTTCCCCTCTGACAATGGCATCTGAGGGGGTGCTCAGTCCCCTGGCACAGCTGAGGCTCTCGGTCATGCCGCTTAGGAGAGCTCTTCTCGAAACGTGCTGACCTTCTCTGCTCGCACCGAAAGTCACCACCCCTATCCCTGCCAGTCGTCCCTGCCAGGCTCCCTGCACTGTGGAGCCTCCCAGGGAGACCGAGTTAGGGTGGCAGAGATAAGCCCAGCTCCCCAGGGGCATACACGTGCCCAGGGTGAGGCCTCACCCATGACCCCTACCCACCAGGCTGGGGCTGAGTTGGGGAACTTCACCTCCCTACTCCTCTCTATCTCTGGGGCCTGGGGGCTGCACAGGAGGGGCCTGGTGCAGAAAAAGCACAGACCCTACGAATGATAGGGGTGAAGGACCCAAGACCAAGAATGCTCCAGGACGCCCGTAAAAGTGGCAGCTCTCAGAGCTGTCCAGGGTCCTGGCCAAACCGCCTCGGATTCCTCCCTCTGAGGCAAGCATCTGCTGAACACTTCTATGGATGACAGAAGGCTCTCTCCCAGCCAGCCCAACTTTTTTTCTTTTCTTCTTATTCTTCCTCCTCCTCTCCTCCTCTTCTCCTTCTCCCTCTTCCTTGCCTTGAACAACATGTATTTTGTTTGGACACTGGTCAGGCACATCACGAGGCAGCTCGACACGTGAGCTCATCCCATCTTGCTCATGACCCCATGGAGGAGGAGGCTGGCTAGTGAGTGCAGAAGGCAGGCCCGTTGCTAGCTGCCACTCTAGCTGGTAAGCAGGGTCTGGAGGAAATGAACTAAAGTCTTGCTCTTCTTTCCACAAAACCACAGCTGCCTTCCTTGAGGGCCTATCCATCCTCCTCAACTGGCCCAGCTCCCAGTGGACGCACTCTTGGAGCAGCGGCCCTAAGTCCACACGAACATCCGCTCCCTGTCTCCCGGCGTGTATTCAGTAAACTGCCTGTGTGCCCACCTCCCCAAAGGCGCTCCTGGAGAGGAGCAAGTACTTTTACATTCTCCTCTGGAACCCAGCCTTCGGCCCAGGCTGAGCACAGAAAAGTCTGTGCATTTCACTTAGTGTTTTAAGAGCTCTACTGAGATACGACTGGCACGCAACAAACGGTACATACATAAAAATACAGCTGGTGAGCTCTGACGCATGTCCGCAGCTGTGAAACCATCACACAACGGAGATAATATGCTTGTCCATCACCCCCCATGGTGGGTGGAGCCCCCAGAAGTGCTGGGGCCAGTGGCGGGTAAGAAAGTGTCAGGGCGGGAGCAGAGGAGGGCAGCCTTGAGAGACAGACAGGTGTTACAGTAGCGCTTGGATGAGTGAACGCACACAGGCGGCCCTGCGCCCATAGCAGGTATCGTGGAGGAGGCTATGGGATAGTTAACCTTAACTGGAGGCATAAGGATGTTTTAAAAAGAACAAAATACCAGGCGCCTGGGTGGCTCAGTTGGTTAAGTGTCTGACTTCAGCTGAGGTCACGATCTCATGGTTCGTGGGTTTGAGCCCAGCATCGGGCTCTGTGCTGACGGCTCGGAGCCTGCAGCCTGCCTGGGATTCTGTGTCTCCCTCTCTCTCTGCCCCTCCCCTGCTCATGCTCATGCTCTGTCTCTGTCTCTCAAAAATAAATAAACGTTAAAAAAAAAGAACAAACTATCTCAATAAAGGGGGGTGGGGATGGCAGGTGCCTCTAAGGAGCCCAGTCGGAGGTGATCACATGCTCAAGAAAGCTTTGGGATGTCCTAGGAGCTAAAAGTCAGTCCCTGGATCCTGATGGGCCCTCCACCAGCTGACAGGCACATGGAGGGGCTGCCGGCCAGGGTCTGGGCTCCCCTGGCTGGGACGGGAATTGGGGAGCCGCAGGACAAATAGCATCCTTGAATAGGCTGAGCAATTTCCAGACAGCTCAGAGCTGGGGGGCTGAGTGAGCTAAGTCCCTTCTCTCCTTGATCTCTAGGAATAATTACGAGGTAAGTGGTTCAAGAGGGAATCGAGTGGCACTCCTGAAGCCGCATGGAGCCAACAGCCCCTGCCAGAGAGGCCAGTTCACCTTCCATTCTCTTCCTCATCAAGCTCCCCAAGCTGGGGGCACCTGGTCAAACTCTGGTAGCTACACAGAGCTCCTCTCAGAAGGGCCTGGGGGCCTGGGCTCCGCAGGGAGCTTGTTACTAACTCCCCAGACCCGGGTTGAAGGGTGAGCACCCACCAAGCAAAGCCAGGGGCAGAGGTGGAGCCCTGCCGGCAGGGGCCCATGTGACACTGTGTGACACCGTGGGACACCATGTGACACGATGATCCACGGGCTGCACCAAGGCATCCTGATGCCCGGAAGAGCAGAGCCAGGTGAGAGCTGGTTCGTAATCAGACTCCCAACTGGGAGGAAAGCTGCCAGGTCAGGCAAAGGGCTGGGGCACTGAGGCTGAGCAAGACGCTGGCGGGGTAGCCGGGCGGGGGACCTCCACAGAGGAGCAGGAGCCCAGCAAGCAGGAGTTTGGTCACATCGAGGCCACGAGCAACCAGATCCTGGGTCTCCCCGTTCTGTGTTCCAGGTCAGCCAGGCTCTGAGTAGGGCTCCGGGTGTGTGGGAGTGGGAGGGGTGGGGCATGGCATTCTCTGGCTTGTCACAGGAATCTGTCCCCCTGAAATTCGTCTGTGACTCTGTAAACCAGCCACACAGTAGATGCCACTGTCTTGCAGCCTAGAGTAGTGAGGAAAGTGCGGAGCCAAGAATGGGAAAACTGGCCAGGTGCTCCCAGGGAAGTCATTTAACTTCTTGGGACCTCACACCTTCCTGTCTGTCAAGTGGGTTGCTATGGACTGAATTTCTGTGCCCCCTCCAAATTCATACTGAAGCCCCTAACCTCCAATGTGATAGTACTAGGTCAGGCTTTGGGAGGTGACTAGGTCATGAGGGCAGAGCCCTCCTAACGGGATTAGTGCCCTTACAGAAGAGACTCCAGAGGACTCCCTTGCCCCCTCACCCACCATCGAGGACACGGTGAGAAAGAAGGTGGCCACCTGTAAGCCAGGAGGAGGGCCCTTACCAGACCCCAACTCTGTTAGCAACTTGACCTTGGGCTTCCAGCCTTCAGAACCGTGAGAAACAAATGTCTGTTGTTTAAGCCCCCTGGTCTGTGTTCTTTGTTAAAGCGGCCCAAGCTGACTATACGCACGGATAACATCTGAATCAGAGAGAGGACGGGTATTAAGTGCAAAGAGTGTCAGCACTGCCAGCGCCGTGAATACAGGGCTGGCGGGACAGGCCAACGCCACAAACACCCACGGCACTCCCTGTGTTCCTGGCATCGGGCTGGGAAGCCACAACGCCTGGGCAACTGAGACACTTACCAGGACCCTACTGAGCAGACACTGCCGTGGAGACCACGGTGCCGCCCCACCCCACCCAAGGGTTCGAGAGCCATCTGCACGCCCGGCGTGGCCTGCCCTGGCCCCAAGACCCACCTGTATCATGTATAGCTGGGCGATGCGGTACTCCTCCACGGTCATGGGCAGAGGAATCCGATATTCCTTTATAATCATCTTGGAGTCCAAGCCTTCCCGTCGATGGGGAACTGCGTGTTGGGACTTCTAGGCGAGGTTCCTTAAATAACCATGACAAAATTCACCAAGGACCCCTGGGAGAGAAAGAGAGAGCAGGAGAGTCACTTCCTGCAAGACTGGTGGGCACAGCAGCACAGAGGACGGGCCTGGTCTTGACTCCACCGTGAGCCTACGGTGTGACCTTGAACAAGTTCCCTCACCTCCCCAGCCTTCACTTCCCTTGTTTGCTAAGCAATCTTGTAGACGACGTGTGAACTCTTATCAGCCGTGGGGTAAATAAAAGACTGTCACCCCACTAGCGAGGGCCAGGCGGCGGGAGGGTGTCACACCCCCTAAGCGTGAAGAGCACTGTGCTCTCGTTTCACACGCTGTTCCGGCAAGAGCAGCCCCGTGCTCTGGAGTAGCTGCAGGCAGACACGGTGACGGCAGATGGCCACAGGAAAGAAGGGAGGGCACACAAAAGGATGAAAAACCCAGGTGAGAAATTTAAAACTCAGCAGTCTGCGGGGCGCCTGGGTGGCTCAGTCGGTTGAGCGTCAGACTTCGGCTCAGGTCACGATCTCACGGTCCGTGAGTACGAGCCCCGCGCCGGGCTCCGTGCTGACAGCTCGGAGCCTGGAGCCTGCTTCGGATTCTGTGTCTGCCTCTCTCTCTGCCCCTCCCCTGCTCACGCTCTATCTCTCTCTGCCTCTTAAAAAATGAATAAACGTTAAAAAAAAATTAAAAATCAGCAGTCTGGGACCCTTCGGTGTTGGGGCCATCAGTTCATTCATGTCACCAGACACAGAGGGCACGGCTGCTTCCCGGCAGGAGATCTGGACTTATCCAGAAGAGGTGATCTCAGTGTGGTTTTAGCTCAATCCAGCAAGTATTTATTGGCATCTGTTCTGCTGCCGACCCAGCCTAGGTCTTGGAAGTAGAAGAGATAAGTGAGATAAGTGGGTGGACTGCATCGCATGTGAGTTCTAGCTCAGTAAGGCTACCTAAAAAATAAACAGTGTACCCATGGAAGCTTCTCTTTAAGATGACAAAGAATACTTTTGAGGGAGATGTGCACCGAGAGCAATCAAATGTAAAAACAAACAAACAAGGCTTGGAGGCATACTCTCAGTGATCTGGAAAATGGAATTACCCATCACAATCCTTCCCCTAGATGGTGGGGGCTTTGCTGTGGTTACCCCCAGAGAGGTTACACGCTGCTAAATGGAAGGTGAGTGAAGGCTTCCAAGATGGACCGTGGCAGAATCAGGATAGCATTTCAGAGGGACCACGCCAGGGACAGCAGTCGGTGAAGATTCATGGTGACGCTGGGTAAATGATAAGAGCGAGGGTCTGGCCAGGCAGGCAGCCTCCCTGGGGCACCATCTGTCCGAGGCCTGAGCGTCACCCAGGCACTAAGGGACTACTGGCTATGTAATGAGATTGGGGGAAAAGAATGTACCAGAACTCTTGGAACGATCAGCATGTAGGGTTGAAAGAAATTCTTTAATAAGCCACCTAGGGAGAGAGACTGAGAGGTGGGGGGTGTTACATAAATAAGTCAGAGATGGCCACTGTATTATTAGCCTCAAGTGACCCCTATGTTACTCACTTCTGCACAGCAGGTGGGACTGTTAGCCCAAAGCCCCAGCACAAGCTCTCACGCATCCAACTGCTTTAAATACAGTCCAAATAAACATCTTTTTAGCTAATTAGAGGTCATCTACTTTACATAACCCACGAAGCTGCACCCCACATTTGCTGGCCATAGAAAAGACAAAGCCTGAGGCAACAAAACACCGCAGACAGGGAGGCTCCCCATCACACTTCTGAGTGATGTCACCAGACACGTGAGCGCCCTGTCTGACTCTCCTTCCCCTCCTGGGTGGGGGTCGCACATCACTGCATTTGCAAGGCCTCATGCTGGGAGGGACTTTCTCTCTCAGGCAACCTGTCCAAATGCCACAGGATAACACTTGTTGTTACACACTTGTTGTTACAGCCCCCCTCCCCTCTCCGGGTCCTGTCCCCTCCCTCATCAACCCAAAGCCCTGAACTTACCACAGAGAGGAGGGGGTTGAACTTTCCAGAGTTTACACTCAAGAGCATTGCTAACCTTCGTTCAAGGTAGATGGGTGCAGCCTGCAGCTGAGAGGGCCCGTGGGTTCGAGCCCAGTGAGCCCTGACACTGTCCAGGACGAGAAAGCAGAGGCTGTGGGCTGCCCCCACTCAGCTCTGAGACCCACCTGCCCCGAGGCCCTCAGATCTCTGCTCAAGTCTGGCTAGAAGCTGAGGCCACTAGAGACAGAGGTGATGGCCCCAGAGCCCCTAAAGTGTCACCTCCTGCCACGAGAGACTGGGATCAGCCAGGTGGCAGCACATCCAAGCCGACACCTGGAGCAACTTTCAAGTGGCCGACAGGGTAGGACAGGCACTGGATATGGGGACCTTCCTGACACAAAGGAGAGAGACCCACATGCTTGGGAGAAGCTCGATGCGATGAGGCCTGGAGACAAGAAGAGGAAGGATGAGGTTCAATAAGGGCCGTGCTTCCAAGGCTTTTCCACGTGGTCTTCTTTCAAGCCCAGGATCACCTTGCTGGGAAGGTACTAGATGCCCGTCACAGAACAGCAACTTAGCCAGTTGCTAAGTGTCAAGCATCGTGCCCTGCACGACACGGTGGCATGCACACCGATGTCTATGGGGCCTCAGGGGGCCTCTTCTGCAACACAGGACAAATGCAATGACCCACAATGACTTTGGGCAAGTCCCACTGCATCACCTCAATAACAAAGAAGTCAGGTGCAATCCCTAAGTGTTCTTGAGAAACTGTGGGAGTCTAAGCAATCTGACCTTCGGTGATCTTAAAGGCTCCACGGAAAGTGACCTGCCTGTGCTCGCCTGTGCACAAGTCAGACCAAGTGTCCATGCAAAGCTAGGGGCAAAGCCTGGGGCTGACCAGCGGTGCCGGCCCCATGGCGGCCAGGAGATGAGCAGACCATGTGAACGCTCAGGATACAGCTCCATCTGCCACTGGGTGAGAGACCGTGTTTCTGCCTGTGCAACACCAGAACTCAGAGTGGGGTGCACAGACAGACAGAAGGAAAGAACAGAGGGCCGCACAGTTAGAGATCAGTGCACGGGGACTAAGAACAGGTCAGAGGGATCAGACCTCTGCGAGACCTGGGACATCGCAGGTGGAGCCCCAGTCTGGGATCTGAGTTCAAAACCTGACAATGCCTTGATTGACCATGGTCCCCCAGGACGACTGACGGGGCCTGCTGAGACTCGGTGTCTCCATACAGCAAATGGGGATAACATCATCTGCCTTCCAGAGTTGCCAGTGTCCCCAAGATGGCAAAAGTGGACCAGCCAGGGGTGGTGTTTGTCAGTGCAGAGGGGGGACTAGGGAAAGGCTTCAGGGAAGGTGGAGCTTTACAGTGACAGGAGCGGGGGCTTCCTGGGACCCGAGGTATCCCCAGCAGACATGGACGTGCTGCAGAACAAGCCAAGCAAAGGCCCTGAGGCATAAATGTGCCACACTATCACAGTGACCTCCCACTAGTGTGCCCCAGCACTGTCATGCCACATGCTGGGTTTGGGGCTGTGTGAATGCACGGAGGCCACCCCACAGTCACTGGCCACAGGAAAGGGTGGCGTTCAAGGCTGAGATGAGGCCATGCCCTGCAGCCGAGTGCCCATGATGTTCAGTGGGACAGGAGCAGGGTGACAAGAGACCATCATGTGCTTCCAGGAGTGCTCTCCTTCTGAGGGACAAGAGACACACTCCTCAGACAAGGTCTGAGCATAAAGCATGAACTTCACAACCAGAATTTCCACAGGCAAGCAAATGTTATCCTTTGAAGCAGCCCCTGGTGCAGGTATGCGGTCCCCCGTGTCCGCCGGGGGTCCCCTCTGGAAGCCCTCAGAGCTCTGCACCCCTTCAGGAAGCTCCCAGTGAGAGGAGCCGAACTCAGGAGATGGCCACGGGCGATCTCTCAGTGCTGGCCACATTGGGTGTTGTCTTTCAAGCTGATCACTCTAAAGGGGTCTCGTCAAGGACCAGCATTTTATTTAGTTAAGAAAGAAAGTCAGGCCTGTTTCTTTACAGCTACACCCTCACCAGTGGGTTCGGGAATCCATCCTGACTTCCTGTTGAAGACGGTGGGGTAGGAGCATTTCTGTTCTACCGTCCTCCCTCGAAAACAACACAAACTACAGAGATAGGGGAGTCCTCGTGGCTGATGAAACAAGGCAATCACTACTCCCCCAAACCACAGACACCATGAAGTCTGAACTGGAAGAAAGGAACATGCTGACAGCTTACACATGCCTCTTCCTTGGACCCCCAAGTAAATATCACTTCTTGAAAGTCATGGCCATGATCCTCCTGCTGGAATGAAGAAATAGGATTGTGGATGCCACCCAGGTGAGGGGAGGCATCTCCCTGTCTTGTTTTTCTAAAGAAAAAACTTCTTATAAGTTTATTTTGAGAGAGAGAATGAGCACAAGCAGGGGAGGGGCAGAGAGAGAAGGAGAGAGAGAGAATCCCAACCAGGCTCTGCGCTCTCTGCGCTCACAGCCCAAGGTGGGGCTCAAACTCACGAACCATGAGATCACGACCTAAGCCAACATCAAAAGTCGGATGCTAAACTGATTGAGCCACGCAGGCACCCCCAAAAGAAAAATGTTTTATTTGAAGTATTACATACATACAAAATATGCATGTATCATAAGTACAGATATATTTTCACAAACTGAACACAACTGTAGGACCAGCAAGGATCGAGAAACAGGAAGTTAACAACCCAGAAGTCCCCTATGGGTCTCCTTCTAGTCATAGCTCCTCAACTGTGGACAACCACTCTCCTGCCATTTGCTTCTTTTGTACTTTAATGAATTGCCAATATCCAGTTGTCTTTGGGTGATTTCATACAGAAGCATACTATATGTGTTTTTGATCCTGGCTTCTTTTGACCATGATGCTCATGTGATTCGTCCAAATTTTTGCATGTGGCTGTAGATTGTTCTCATTGCTGTCTAGTATTTCATTGAGTGGATGTACTATAATCGACTTAACTATTCCATTGTTGAT